ATTGCTCAGGTGTGAGTTTCAGACTTCAGAGTGTCAAAATCTTGATGGTTCTGTGGGTCTCATCTATAAATCTGAGCTTTATTCTGTATTCTCTATTGGATTCAGCTCAGGTGATTGGCTTGGCCATTCCACAGCTTGATTTTCTTTCTCTGAAAGCATTTGAGAGTCTCTTGGCTGTGTTTTGGATCATTGTCTTGCTGAAATGTCCACCCTGGGTTCATCTTCATCCTCCTGCTAATGTAGATGTTGGACTGAGGCAGCTGATCTTCATTTACACTGAGGAAGGGCAGAGGCTTGCTGAAGAATTACTGAGAGATTTCAGCTGCTGTCTGGGATTTCACTGCCGAACTACACCTCCCTTTCTTCATGTGTTCAATACTTTTTCCTTGCGTCACTTCATTTTATTGCACATAACTTCATTTGGAAACTAATTAGATTTGTTTTCTTTGCCTATATGGATTTCTTTGGTTGTTAACAACATCTGGGTAAAATTCAAGTCAACAACACTTTTAGAAATATGTTGTCTGAGAAAAACGGTGATGTGTTCAACACTTATTTCTCCGCTGTATATATTGAGTCATATACACATTTATATTTGTATTAATGTGTTGTCAAACTTTTAGAGTATTAGTAACTTAAACATTTTAAGTTCAGTTATCAAATCGCTAAGAGTTCAGTTAACTTAAATTAAATCCGAAATGACTATTTCTACTCAAATGGTTTGGTATCGCTTCTATAGAGCTATGGCATTAGAGTTTACACAAAAAATATAATTAAATTCATAACTCATTTGAGTTCTGCTTAATATAATCATATGATGCATACATGGTGCTTTATGCCGTATATTAAGTATAAAACAATCTCCCACAATGCATGCTAGTTTTGCAACCCAGCCCAAAATGTTTTTAAGTTTTTAGACATTAATAAAGATTTTAATTTTAGTATTGATAACTAGAAACTGTAGCATGTGGATCAAACTAACAGTCAAACAAACATTACATTGCTAAATTACCTTTAAAGTGCATACTGGAGAATGAGTAAACTAAACAGCATTGTAAATAGCCCTGTCACATATATCAACTTATCGCACAGCAGGTAGACATGTCCTCAATCATTTTTGGTGATGCAATATATATCGCCATCACATAAACCAATTCTAACCACATTTTAGCTATTTGTGAAGCCTCTCTATCTCTACTGGAGGTGTGAGTGTCAGTATGGTTAAAAATAAAAAACAGTATAGTATTTACTCTAAATTACTATAGTATATGTTCATGTGGGTGCCTGATGACTGAAAATAGATCTGTTAATTATTATTACGGGTTGGGTTAATTTTAAAATTTATCATTATTATTATAAATTTGTTCAGAATATTTGTTTTCACATTCTAATTCCGATACCTGACTATTTCATTGTTAAAATGACTATAATTTAATGAAATGATCTTAAGATACGTGTTCTTTGGAAGTGTGTTCTTGCATTATGGTGCTATTATAGTGCCAAAATGGTCTTAAAATGACAATAATATTGTTTATTGCAATACATTTTGTTGCTATATATCAGGGGTGGCCAACCATGTTCCTGGAGAGCCACCTTCCTGCAGATTTCAGTTGCAACCCATATTAAACACACATGCCTGTAATTATCACGTGGTGTTCAGGTCATAATTAATTATTTCAGGTGTGTTTGATATTGGTAGCAACTGAAATCTGCAGGAAGGTGGCTCTCCAGGAACAGGGTTGGCCACCCCTGCTATATATCATACCACAAAATATAGATACAGTATCATGCCAGGCCTAATTGTAAAAGCATTGCTAAATTTCAAGACGCTCTTTCAAAAAAAAAAAAAACTTCAAACAAAAAAAGAGAGCATGCATTTAATCGCAATTTCATAATGATCATACTGGACATGGCACATAATGCCTAAAACATTAGTGAGAGAATGCAAAAGCAGTGAAATCTATTTTCCTCGAACAGTGTTTCCTCTATAGGATTTTTTCCAGCTGTGGCGTCCCCTGCCCACATACATCACTGCACTCACACACACAATAAACAATAGCCTAGCGAATGAAAATGTCAGATCACAGATGTTAAGAAACTTTCACTGTGCTTTAAAATGAAATACTGAGGTTTTGGTTAATTCGCGTGAAATTCATGTGTTGTTTATAATAAATGCTATTTTTAACTTATTTTCATTCATGTACTTTTATGAATTCTGGTAAAATTGACAAAATGATAGGCGCTTAATAATTATAGTTATAGGGGCTGTAGATTTAGGTGGACTTTGTGCAATTTAAGCCTAAATAGAGTATATTTTTGACTTAAATTAAATAAAAATGTGTTAATCAGTCCAAAATCTTACAGTGATAGTTTAACCGTGAATTAAAAATGTACACAATATTAATTTACTATCAAATGCTTCTAAATCTTTATCATATCCAAGTCGTTTCCTTTTTCTGTTTCCACAAATAAAGATACTTTGAAAAATGTTCAGCACTGACTTCCAGAAAAGTGAAAACAAATACTATGGATGTCAGTTACCAACATTATTCAAAATATCTTCTTATGTGTTCACAAAAGAAAGTCAAACAGCTTTGAGTCAAGCAAGTAAAGGAGTCAATGATTTCGTTTTGTGTGAACTGTCCCGTTAACAGTTTAAAATGACACGCCTGAAGTCTTACATTATTATATTAATGGTTCATTTGCTGACCTTATGAGCGAAGCCTCATTGAGTACTCAGGCTGAGTAGAGTACTAGGGCTGCACAATATATCATTTCAACATCGATACCGCAGTGTGAGAATATCCAATAGTCACATTGCAGGATCTGTAAAGTTGAGTTTGTAGTGTAATTAACCAGAAAACATAGTTCAGAACACAGTTTAACCCTAAAAGAGTGAAATATTTTCTTATTATGTACGATTTAAAGTGAATTAAAACTATGTGGGCACAAAAAACATTTGTAAACAAACAAGTTAACTGTATATAATCATTTCTATAACGAAGACTATAGTAGTCAACACTTGAGGTTGAATCTAAAAATAATCTTTAGACAAGAATGGATGTTGTTGAATAGTTTTGGGACAATTTGATGAAGTTTTGGTCCACTTCAAAAGTTTACTAGTGTATACCGAGATTTACAGTGCTCAGCATATATATGATTTTAAGATTTAGATTTTAAATTCATATTTTTCATAGGGACCTGGAGCTAACAAAATAACTTACAATTTGTAGGTTAAATTTATTTATTTTATTATTTATTTATTTTTGTTGTTGCAATATTTAGCTTGAATTGAATTGCATTATTCTTCAATTTCTAAATAATGTTTGGTGACAAAAATATTATTTTAATAAATATATTTGTTTATAATAATTAATATTAATTATATATTTATATTAATATATGTGTTTAATAAATCTGTTTTGTTGAAATGCACCAAAATGGTGTGTACTCAATTATCCTGAGGACTGTATTACATTCGATTATTTAAGTTTCGCACTTAAATACTGTTAGGCTCTCCAGAAAAACAGAAAAGCACTATTTATTTAATTTGAATCTGTTCATTTTTTTTAAATTGACACTAGTAGTTGGTTTCCGCATTCGGAAGTGAAAGTGAAACCTGTGCGCACCATTTAAATTATCATATCGCATTTTAAAGTTATGACTATGACAAGCATTTGATGTTTTTTCTTTCATAGTGAACACAAAGTGTTGTGCATGAAAATAAATGCTTACTGTGTCAGTATAACAACCCTAGCTGATAAATAATGTTGAATATAATGCAAGAAAGAGTCTGATAATGACAAAATTAGAATTTTACCAGTGAAAACAAATGGGCTAATGTTGTTAATGACAGATGACAAGCACATGTCTTAAACATAATAAATCAACTTTACAATTAGGAATAGTTGTGTTCTGATGTCATAATTTTACCGTGAATTAACAAACAGACCATATTGAAAGTCTGTTCAAGTCCACAATAATGACTATAAAAAATGTAGATAGTAGATCTATACATAGGTCTATTATTGTTGTTTTTCCATATGATTGAGAATCAACAATAATAATAGGCTGATCATATTAACCTTTATTTTACATTTACAGAGTTATAAGAAAATTGTGATCTTGATTTTAAGCAAAAACAACCGTGATTCACATTTTTGCCAGAATCGTCCACCCCTACCTTAATGTTTGCACAAATTTAAGTGGATTAAACACAACACAATTAGGTTATCCCCTTTAAAATCTCAACAATTGTGTTGTTTCAGCGCATTTTAAGTAAATAGTCCAAACAAACATCATTTTTGAGAGTACTTGAAACTCTGTATTTGAAGATGCCAGAGTTTGGTCAAAAATCCAAAAAACAGGATCCGCCCTGCTGCTAAACAGGTCATTGCAGCATCCGCGAGTCGCTTACATCCCCAAAAGTGTGACCTGATTTGGTATCAAGCAGTTTCACTCGCTGAGAGCCACATCCGCAGCCCCCCAGACCCCACATTGCTGCACTTGTAGAGGATACGGCTTACATAATGAGCATCCTCCTCACTACCACCTGAAAAAAAATCCCAGCGCAGCAAAGACCAGCCCTCCAAGTTATCCAGCACTGCACCAGAAACTTGCGCACAGTGACAGACAGGGGGTTGCACACACCTGGATACGCAACTTATTTCTAAAGCGCGGTTACAATGGAGATAGTGTCAAAGCCGATGAAGTTCTAGTAAATGGCTTCAGTCCAGTTGAAAGCACAGGGTGCAGATATAAGAAACACTTCTGCAGGATGCATGAGGAGTTGCATGCATATCACACATTGGAGTTGCATGCAATTATCACACGTTGATCTAAAGCATCTGTACTAGTCCTGCACTTTATTAGTGCATTAAAACAACGGTCTCGAAAGACTGATTCAACCTGCACCTAACCCAAGCGCATCTGATTAAATATGAATCCAGCATCAATAAGTCAGTAGTCCCACACACACACACACATTCAGCAGCACTCACTTGCACCTCAGCCCGCTGGCGAGCTTCACCACAGCAGTATTAAGCGAAACGATCCAGTCCAGGAGCCACATGGCTGAAGAGGACAGCGCGGGGCAGGATGGTGCGGTGCGAGCCACTGTTAAACCGCAGACTTTCTTCCTATCTATCTCTCAGCCTGCTGTCCGCCTCAACACTACTGAACACTAGTGAGCTGGAAAACAAGGCAGCGCGGGAGGGAGAGATGGATGGAGGGAGGGCGCGAGAAACAGGAGCAGAGGAGGAGGGCGAGAAGTGAGTGTAAAAACTCACTGGCGTCAAAAGCACGGTGTGGCGTAAGTGCACCGCAGGAGGACAGGGCACGTCGATCACAGCACACACACACACACACACACACACACACACTCCGCCTCTGTTCTGCAGAAGAGCCGGACTCTAGGTTTGACAGTCTGACATGTTGTATTTCAAGGACACAAGCAGCAAACCCTAGAGGGCATGTTCCTGTATGCGCGTGCTTTACCTGACGAATGAGTGTGTGTGTGAGGGGAAATAGGGAATCAGACGCATCAGGGTTGATGGCTGTCACAAAGCACTGTTATGTAACCCGTACTGAACTATCTTCAGGGAAAGCGTGCAGTCGTCCAGCATTTAAAAGAGGAATGTACATTTATACAAACACATACACACTCCCTGACTCCCTGAGTCTTGTTGTCGATCCCAGTTGTAAGAGCAACAAATAATAACTTGACTTCTGGTTGATCACTTGGAAAAGTGGCAGAATTTTTCTGATGGATCATCTGCTGAACTGCATCCCAATCATCACAAATACTGCCGAAGACCTACTGGAATCCAAGATTCTCACAGAAATCAGTCAAGTTTGGTGAAGGAAAAGTCATGGTTTGCGGTTACATTCAGTAAGGGGGAGATCTGCAGAGTGGATAATCAACAGCCTGAGGTATCAAGACATTTGTGCTGCCCATTACATTACAAACCACAGGAGAGGGACAATTCTCCAGCAGGATAGCGCTCCTGCTCATACTTCAGCCTCCACATCAGTTTCTGAAAGCAAAGAAGGTCAAGGTGCTCCAGGATTGGCCAGCCCAGTCACCAGACATGAACGTTATTGAGCATGTCTGGGGTAAGATGAAGGAGGAGGCATTGAAGATGAACACAAAGGATCTTGATGAACTCTGAGAGTCCTGCAGGAACGCTTTCTTTGCCATTCCAGATGACTCTTTCAGAGCTCAACAATAATGCCTCATTCACACGGGGCTTCAGCGTCAACGATTGACTGAAGGCGTGTCTGAAGTTGGGGCTACCGTGATCATCTTAGCAGCTTCAACCAATAAAATTCAGCCAGCAATAGGCCACTCTCTAGCTGGTGTATTTGCATACAGCGATCTGATTGGCTGACGCTTCCGTCAGCGCTTGAAAAGTTGAGCTAGTCCCAATTTCTGCAGCGAGCAACGCCTCTGAAGCGGCGCAGTTCGACAAGGCCTGACGTCACCCATTCAAAGTGAATGGGAAGCGTTGATGCTGACGCCCCGTGTGAATGGGGCCTAAGGACTGCCCGATGGCCCAGGGTCAGCGTGAGAGACTCTTAGGACAGTAGAGAGGATCATTACTGGCCTGATTGGGACAGTGCTGCCTTGTCACTAAACATACTACTTTAATTTTGTGCTTTTAAATTTATAAATGCTACCTTCTCTGTGATGTCGTAAACACTATATTGCTTTTTGGTTTCTCTTATCTGATTTGATGTATTGAGCATTTCACTTTTTTTCCCGTAACCTGGTAACAACCTGTACAGCGACGTGGCGGCAACATCAAACAATAAGGGTAAAACAAAATTTCTGTTTCCAACTTCTTGGAAGCAGACATTGACATGGGAACAACTCGGAGTGATGTTTTGCACAATTTGCCGTCAGTTTGGCAAGTCAGCCGCCTTTTGTAAAATAATGTCGAACTGCAATAAAATACCTGCACATTTTCCATACTACTCTTTTTGCTTGCACAACACTTAGAATTTTGCTCATTATACATTTTTACATGTTTTAAATATTTTAATTCTAGATTCACATACACTATTAATTAAAATATGTGGCTAAAAATAGCTCTTAACCTCTCTCTCTCTTTTTTTTTTTTTTTTTTTTGGAGTGGGGCCAGTGAAAATTTTGCCAGGGCAAGTAAAATCTCAATCATTGGCCCAATCGGACCAGTTGAAAAAATCCTTAGCGTTGAACATTGCCGCATTAATCAGTGATTTGACTCAGAGATGTATGGATGCAGTCCTCCAAGCTCATGATGGAGTCAGACACAATATTCATTCTGTCTCCACTGCAGCAGGACTTTATATTCTATACTGGACATTATTTCTGTACAGTGACAAGACTTTTGTCTAAGCAAAGTCAGACATTACTGTCCTAATAAAATGATAAAAAATCAAGACATGATCATATTTTATTTTGCTAAAAATCATAATCTAGAGGCCTTTGCCTTTCATATAAGCCACTTCTGATTCCAAATGATCAACTAGAAGTCGAGTTATTATTTGTTGTTCCTAAAACTTGGATAGACAACAAGACTTTTGTTAGGTAGTGTAGGCTTTATTGTTATCTGCAAGAACTCAAGCGATCGGCTCCATTATGCTCTGTGCCGTTTTCAGCTTTGAGAGTTGCACTTTTTCATTTTATAATCAAAGCATGCACGGCTGTGGGAAAGCACATCAAGTACTGAACGCTAAGCAATACTGATTACCTGCTACATATTCAGTCTCATTTTGTTAACAGAGAGGAAGAAATCAGTGATCATTGGCTATTTTTTCTTCCTTCTGTATCTTCTGTATATCCTTTATCCTGTCACGACAAGACTTTTGTCAGGTAGTGCATGTCTGCAATGTGCATCACTTCGCAAAACTACTATAAGATAAAGCCAGTAAGCAGGTTTACCAACATTCTGTATGGTGATGTTTTTATTTTACATCATCTTTATTTACTCCCTGGGCTGTATTTGATTAAAGAAGGACAAACAACCGACAGTAACTTGAAAGCCAGAAGCATATCAATTTTAGATGAGAACTATGAAGCTCCGCCAGAAGCAAAGTCTCATGGGCTTGTGCTACTGACCAAAAAAAGACTGTCCTAGAGCAAACAGCACACCTCGTGAGAGGAGAGAGAGAGGAGAGAGAAAAAGGAGACAAGTTTGAAAAACTTGTGTTGATTCAGCTCATTTTATACAAGTAGTTTGAACATATTTACATACAGTTGAAATCAGAATTATTACCCCCGTTTATTTTTCCCAAATTTCTGTGTAGCGGAGAGAAGATTCGTTTAACACATTTCTAAACATAATAATTTGAATAACTCATTTCTAATAACTGATTTATTTTATCTTTGCCAAGATGACGGAAAAATAATATTAGACTAGATATTGTTTAAGACACTAGTATTCAGCTTAAAGTGACATTTAAAGGCTTAACTAGGTTAATAAGGTTAACTAGGCAGGTTAGGGTAATTAGGCAAGTTATTGTATAACAATGGTTTGTTCTGTAGACTATCGGGAAAAAAAAGCTTAAAGGGGCTAATAATATTGACCTTAAAATGGTTTGTAAAAAATTTAAAACTGCTTTTATTCTAGCCAAAATAAAACAAATAAGAATTTCTACAGAAGAAAAAATATTATCAGACATACCGTGAAAATTTCCTGAATCTGTTAAACATCATTCGGGAAATATTTTTTTTTTTAAAAATTCAAAGGGGGCTAATAATTCTGACTTCAATTGTAATATTAATGTATAATATTTAATGTATAAATATATAATTATATGAGCAATTCCAGTGTTATGGATGCGACATTTGCAGTAAAAACTCAAAACATAAATCCGCATAGAAAGTAAATGGCAAAGTTAACATTTGCACGGAATTGCTTATGTATATATATATTGATGCTTATGTATCATCAATAATGCTTATGTATAATCATTGATGCTTATGTATCATCAATGTCTTTCAAAGCGGACTATCGAACAACATTACAAAAACTTTGCTGCGGTTGATAATGAGCTTTAAGAATGTACGTCTTTACCGCAAATACAGCCTATTCTATTGCCTAATATAATCTATAATCTATAATATATATATATATATATATATATATATATGGCGTTCTTAAAAATCAGTAGGCTATGTTAGAAAATTGACTTGATTTTTAAAATTGCTTCTTTTTACTGTGATTCAATGTGTTTTTGGTCAATATCAATCAATGCATTATAACTTTGAGCATAAGCATTGCGTCACAGTTAATGAGTCGGCCTTTCTGGTTTCAGAATATTTAAAAAACAAGCCTTTATTCGGTTGTGTTTTCTGGTGATTTTATTCTTTGTTATTTGAAATAAAAAAATGAAAATCAAATCATTTTTGAATTTAGATTTTTTTCCCAATATTTATTTTTGCATTTGAAAATGAAAAACGACTCATTTTTTGTTTTTTTCAATATCCTTTCTAAAATGAAAATCCAATGACTTAAAGATACACTGACCAATTAAGCTGTCCCTGGAGTGAAATATCGAATAGATCAATTCCAAATTTACAGACATCTTAATAAATGTAAGGAGTCTTTTAAAATTCATTAAGTGTGCCATTAAAATGCTGTTTTTTATTTATTTGTAGGTCAACTATGATTTCTCCATAAAGCATCCTAGTATGAAAGAGAAATATTTTCACTTTGTAACTCTCTCTCCATCTACTCATCAGTCTTGATGATCAGACATTCTTCTTTCATAACTTTACGCTGATGATCGTATACTCGATTCAAACTCAAATGTACTCACTTTTTGCCAGGTTTCTTGGTTTTGGTCCTTTTCTTCCTGGCCTGAAGTGCAAGTACTGTCAAAGAACAGATAAATGTGCTTTGTTAGCACACTTTTCATAAACAATGTAAAATGTATATAAATATGTAGACAATAAATGTACATTTCTATTTACTAAAGCTGCGGAAATAAAATTTTCAAAGTTATTTTCGATTTTTGGCATTGATGGGGATTTTTTTGTGTGTTCAATTTATTTGTATTAATTTTTAACTTGTTATAATGCATTTTTATGACTTCAGAAAGCATATTATAACAGTATGTATCAGAGATGGGGTAATCAAGTCACATGACTTGACTCGAGTCAGACTTAAGTCACAAAATTTAGGACTTGAGACTTCCTTGAAAAAAAAACTTGTTTTTGTTAAATACACAACCGTTTGTTATATTTTATGCATTTAAAAACAAAACAAAACCAAAAGTTCTAAGTCATGTATGCGCAGTATTAACAGCTCATTGGTTCTCAGATCGGTCCGAGAGAATCAGTTGAATTTGCTGGACTGGATCATTCGGTTCATTAAGACCCACTTTAAATGATTCATTAGATTAATTCAATATATATGTGTGTGTTTATATATATATATATATATATATATATATATATATATATATATATATATATATATATATATATATATATATATAATTAGATTGACTTGAAAGTGACTTGCTAGACCAAGCTTCGACTTGACTTGACGTGACTTGAAATAGACAGTGGCTTGACTTGAGTCTGACAAAAATTGACTTGACTTGCTTGAGACTTGAAGGTTATGACTTGAGACTTGCACATGTGTGACTTACTCCCAGTCCCACCTCTGGTATGTATTAACAAGAAATGACTGTGGCTGACAATGGTTGTTACAATTAAGCCAAACACTGTTGGACACTAACTAAACTAACTAAATAATTTTTTGAATTTTGAGTTTAATGTTGAGAACTTTTTAAATAAAAAAATTAAAAAATTGTTATTAATGCAAATAAATGCATTGCATAACAATGGATAAATGGATAATAATTAAAAAAGATTCAAATGTGTTTATCCAATAAACAAATAAATGAATAAACATGCTGTGCTTTGTAGAATTAAAAAAAAGAAATGAGCCAATTACTGAGAAAATATAGCTACTATTTAAAGTAAACTGAATTAAAATTGTGTGAAATCAGTGATCATACTTCCAGTGCTCATTTGTAGGAGACTTGTGTGTTGTTAGTAAAAAACAAATGGTTTGTCTAACTTTGTTCATTATTTGGCGAAAACCAAAGTGTTACTTTGTGCCCTGCTCTCACCCATATAATCAACGATAATATTTTAGAAGGCGACGTGGTGGCGCAGTAGGTAGTGCTGTCGCCTCACAGCAAGAAGGTCGCTGGTTCGAGCCTCAGATGGGTAAGTTGGTGTTTCTGTGTGGAGTTTGCATGTTCTCCCTGCGTTCACGTGGGTTTTCTCAGGGTGCTCCGGTTTCTCCCACAGTCCAAAGACATGCGGTACAGGTGAATTGGGTAGGCTAAATTGTCTGTAGTGTATGAGTGTGAATGTATGTTTCCCAGAGATGGGTTGCGTAAATAAAACCTGCTGGATAAGTTGGCGGTTCGTTCCACTGTGGCGACCCTGGATTAATAAGGGACTAAGCCGACAAGAAAACGAATGAATGGATGAAATTGTCTGTAGTGTATGAGTGTGAATGGGTGTGTATGGATGTTTCCCAGAAATGGGTTGCAGCTGGAAGAGCATCCGCGGCGTAAAACATATGCTGGATAAGTTGGCGGTTCATTCCGCTGTGGCGACCCCTGATTAATAAAGGGACTAAGCCGAAAAAAAATGAAAGAATATTTTAGAAATTTTCTCCACAGCTGTTTTATGGAGATCTGTTGTTTACATGTCATCTCAAAACCAGAAACGTCACAAAAGCTAGCAAAACAAACCATTTAACTACAAGCAGTCAAACAAAAACATATAATACACAACTAATGTTAACATTAATTTCCATATATCCGAATAATTAATAATACAGTTTTACTACAGTAAACATGATGGTAACCATGGTGAGCAAAATATTCGATAATTTGTAGGTTTGGGGCGGTTTTAGCTGCTAGCAGTTAGTCCACACACACACAAAACGTTTTTATCATCACAGGCATAATTATACTTCAGTTAATCATATTTAATACCAAACATCACCATTTCTAACGGCGAACTAAAATATAAGTTTAGCTAGCAAAAAGCTCGCGCGAAAACAAACGAATCTTTTCACAACAAGCAGCGGTTACAAACACAAACATGCTAAAAACATTCATAACACACACATGAAACGTCCATGTTCCAGCTGTAGAGTGCAATATAAGCAGATGTTGATGTAAAGCTGCAGTGCTGTTGCATTAGCAGCAGCTAAACACACACATGGGCTTTTGTCTCTATCGCCACACATGGCATATCTTAAAGCGCGACATGTCCAGCACATTACTGATATGATCGAGGCTTGCTGCGATGTTCATTCATATTTCTATATGTGCTGTTGCTCGGAAGCCTGTGGAGGACAGGAGTTTTGCTGTTTTGATGCTCACCTTTCCTTTCCATGCTGCACCGGCGGCTAAAGTGCTCACAGTCACTCACATGTAACGGTCGGCGCATGCGCACAAAACTCCACTAACAACTGAAGTGAAAACGCTCACACACACACACACACACACGCACGCAAGCACGTACATTTTTAAATACTTTATAAATTCAGTGCCACAATAATTAGCGGAGATACATATTTATGTAGTTAAACTTTTTCCCAAATCTAAATAATAAGTGATAATTTAGTTAATCAGTTAATTATGTCTCGATCTATATCTGTGCTGCTGCGGCATCAAAATGCTTAATAGTCTACAGGTTACAATTTGTGGCAAATAAAGTAGTTTAACTCAAGTTGTATTGATCTACATACATTTTAACAACCTCATATTAAGACGATGTGTGTGCTGAGTTTGTCAAATTTTCCATCTTGGCTTTATTTTCGCTTTAAAATAGAAAATAATGACAATAAATAAATATTTCTTTTAATCTCTCTCTTTTCTATACTTGTATTATATTGTTGTTTATTTCATTCATAACTACCATGTAATGTTTTGTACAGAATAGCCTGAATTTTCTGTTTGTTTTAGATATACCCTGCTGAAAAAACTCGCTTAAACCAGCCAGGGGCGCCCCCAAGGGGTGGCTATTTGAACTCTGGCCACCCCTGTGGCCATCCAAATATGATTTTGCTGTTGACATTATTAAATTAAATGTACTTACTACTTACGTAAATTCACCATATTTCAATAAATAAATATAAATAAATAATTAAAAATAAAGTAAATAAATAAATAGCAGCTACTAAACCATTGTAAATTGATTGGTGCCACTGATGTAGCAGATTCACGGCTCCTTCCCCTCCCCGATCGTCGTTGACAGCACGCACACGCCTTCAGTAGACAGCTATGGCAATTTAATATTTACCTTCTGGTACATCAATAAAAGAAGCTGTAATAATAATAATAATATTGTGGCTCAAAAAGGAATAAAGATAAATCATATTATTGGGGTCTGTATCGTGTGTGTGTGTGTGTGTGTGTGTGTGTACAGTAAGTGTGTGTGTGTGCCTTTTGTTTACTTTCTTCATTTGTTTGTTTTATTAATCTTCATTAATTTTAGACATGGCATATAATGTATGCTGTACAATAAAAGTATGTGAAAAATTACTGATAAGTTATTTATATATATATATATATATATATATATATATATATATATATATATATATATATATATATATATATATATATATATGATTTAGTTTTAAACTAAATATTGATTTTATATGGTTTGCACATGTACTTGCTAAATTATTTCAAGGAATAAATTGCAATATTTCAAGAATAATTAATGAAAATGAATGAATACATTATTTTATTTACCAGAAACAAAAATAATACACTGAATTCATTATTTTTCTGTGTGCCACCCCAAGATTTGGTGTGGCCTCTTCTGGCCACCCCTAAGAAAATCGTCTCGGGGCGCCACTGAAACTAGCCTAGGCTGGTTGTCTAGTTTTAGCTGGTCATACTCCAGCCTGACCAGCTAAAACCAGGCTGGAAATGGCCAAAACCCCTCTAAAATCAGACTGGTCGACTAGCTAAAACCAGCCAGCCTAGGCTGGTTTAAGCTGTTTTATTCAGTACACTGGGAAAAAAAAATATTCAAAGATGATTCCTTGAATTTACTACATTTTTAAGTGGTTGTAAACAATTTGTTTGTTTGAATTCAGCTCAAAAAATTAAGTTAAACATTAATAAATTTAATTTGTTTGTTTAAACTCATTTTTTTCAGTAGGGTATAGTTATTGTTTTCTTGATATTGTAGTAAAAATTATTTAAAAAGTGGAGGGTAAATAAATGATGAAAGACATTTTGTATTGTAAAAAAAATCTCTTTAAAAGCTACAACAGCACCTCAGTGGCACCAAAACAACCAGCTTCATTTAAATTTCCTGAGCTTGTGGTGTTATAAGAGATTAAAAGAAAAACCTGTCAGAGAGCGATCATTTCCATTATTTGTAGTAAATATCAGTGTGATGATAATCTCTGATAATTATTAGGTTGTCACATTTTACATCTCGCAGCTTGTTAGCGTGTAATCTCAAAGACTAGAATAAACTTGAAGGGACTTTGGTTATATGAGGAATGCCGCGCGGTGGCAGTGTTTCTCAGAAAATAATACACTCACGACACATAATGAACGGAAAAATGCCAATGTTGTGCTTATCTATTAACAAAATGCAAATAAATGGATTGATAAAATGGTTGTAGCTTAAATCGTTTTGCAGAACTTTAATGAGAACAATAACAGATCAAACACATGTCATAGGTGAATTGATGAACTAAATAAAACGTAGCGTATGAGTGTGTGTGAATGTGTATGGGTGTTTCCCAGTATAGGGTTGTGGCTGGATGGGCATCCGCTGCATAAAAAAATAGCTGGATAAGTTGGCGGTTCATTCCGCTGTGCCAACCCAAATTAATAAAGGGGCTAAGCTGAAAAGAAAATGAATGAATATGAGTGAATGAATGATATACGAATGTGTATGGGTGTTTCCCAGTACTGGGTTGCAGCTGGAAGGGCATCTGCTGCATAAAACATATGCAGGAATAGTTGACGGTTCATTCCACTGTGGCAACCCCTAATGAATAAAGGGACTAGGCTGAAAAGAAAATGAATGAATGAATATGATTGTATTTGAATGTGCATGGGTGTGTCCCAGTACTGGGTTGCAGCTGGAAGGGAACCTGCTGCATAAAACATATGCAGGAGTAGTTGATGGTTCATTCCGCTGTGGTGATCCTTAATGAATAAAAGGACTAAGCTGAAGGAAAATGAATGAATGAGAAGACAAACAGGGGTGTTGTGAAAAATAATTGCCTTTATTTCAGTATAGCAGTGGTTGTTCAAAGTTCACAGACCACATAACTTAAGAGTGACTGAAGTAAAACCAGTTCTACAATGATCTCTCTTATTCATGAAAAAAAAAAAACGGATCTCATGCGACAAAACCAAATATATAAACCAGGTTTAATGGATTCTGATTGACACGTGATTTTCCACTGTGCATAAAAACAAAACAAAAAACACCCCCACCCCCTCATATTTAACAAGACATGCTCAACACAGAAAATATTGCTGAATAAAATTAAGAGATATAATATACAGTGAAAAAAGAAAACACTTTAAAAATGATACAATAAGTTAGATGCCGGCTCTAGAAGAGTCGTCTAGTCTGGGCTGTTCAGAGTTTTGGCTCAGCTTAACTTTCAGGGCATTGAAATGAAGGTAAACTGTTTCATCGTGAACCATAATGCAACTGTCTTACTGTTAAAACCCCAATCCTCCATTTAAAGCATGGATGGATAATAAATAAATGAGAGTGAAAGAACGGGAAACTACGCTCTAGGACCAGCTTTTGAAGAACTCAGGAATAATCAGGCCGATTAAAAACAGCCAAAACATGTCCAAATCACAATTAACCTCATCAAAAAATAAACATATAGTTGGGATTTACTGTTTTTGATTGAGTAAAGTAATTTTTTTGATTCTATAAAGGTCAGATCACAATTCCTTCCAAATTTCAAATAAAAATATTATAATTTACAGCATTTTTTTTTGGGTTAATGGGTCAGAACAAGCAATATTTTCCTTTGTTGTGACTGAAAAATCTGTGTTTGGTCTGCCAAATGTGGCTTTTCTTAACTGTTCTCAAGTTAAACTATTGGTATTGTGTCATATAAATATTAATAAGCATTTCTGGAAACTTTTATATTTGACCAATTGTCATTTTATGCTCATTTTAATATTAAATATAGAATAAAAGTCATCATAAGTTTGCAGAACTAACCAAAACTTGTGTTCCACACTCAAACAAAGCTATAAATTGTAAATTGTTAAGTTGCTGTTGATCTATTTTTGTCTAATTTTAAATAAATATTGAGCATTAAAATTCATTATATTAAAAGATTTTGTCAATTTAAATCAATATAAGTTTTAGGAAGTGCAAAAATGATGGTAAAAAATAAAAATATACATGGATTTACTCGGGATTTACTGTTTTTGATTGAGTAATGTTAATTTTTTATTCTATTAAGGTCAGATACCAATTCTTTCCAAATTTCAAATGAAAATATAGTAATTTACAGCATTTTGGGGGGGTCAACTGCTCAGAATAAACAATATTTTCCTTTGTTGTGACTGAAAAATCTGTGTTTGGTCTGCCAAGTGTGGCTTTTCTTAACTGTTCTCAAGTTAAACTATTGGTATTGTCAAATAAATATTAATAAGCATTTCTGGAAACTTTTATATTTGACCAATTGTCATTTTATGCTCATTTTAATATTAAATATAGAATAAATGTCATCAAAAGTTTGCAGAACTAACCAAAACTTGTGTTTTACACTCAAACAAAACCATCAATTGTTCAATTGCTGCTGATCTATTTTTGTTTAATATTAATATTTAAATGAATAATAAGTCTTATAATTCAATATGATAAAAGCATTTGCCATTTTAAATCAATATAAGTCTAAAGAAGTGCAAAAATTATGGTAAAAAAGTCCTAAAATCACCATATTCATGACATCACAATGAAAACGTTCGCATTTCTGTAATGAAATCATTACTGTAGAAATAAAAATGAAATATAATAGTTGTGGATTTCTTATCTTAATTTAACTAATTAATTTATTAGTCGAATCATGACCTGGACATGTTCTGAAGCGGTTCTGTGCCCGTAACATTAAGATCTTCTCTCAATCGCCCACATATTTCCCCTAAATATCATCCCAAAACAATTTCAAATCAAGCATCGATAGCATAATCAGCATAAATGATGCGTTTTTTTGTCCGAGAAAAAGGACACCTGTGTGTGAGTGTGTGTGTATATATGCGTTCAAATGTACATTCGACATTTACATTCTGCTTATTACAATGCGGAGGATGCCTGCGAACACACAAACAAACCCGTCGGTGCACATTCTCATCATTTTATGTACAGCTGTTGTATTTACATCTCTGAAACGCAGGATTCGGACAGCACAGGAGTTTATCTGGCCTTTAGGTTTTGTGCCGGCTACAAGCGGAGCTCAGAGGTAAAGCTTTTACTTCCCCAGGGAAGAAATATTTGATGAAATGCCAAGCTCAAAATCTTTAGATTGCGACTGATTGCGTGTGTGCTTTTGTCTCTATTCTAGGGATGTCACGATATTCCGATACCAATCTATACTAAAATTTTTGAGCGCTGTTGAGCACCGCTGATTTGCCATAGTGTTCACATGCTCAACAGAAAAGACTGTGATTGGCTGTGAAGGTCATCACTGAACTCACCGCTGTTTACGGAGTGTAACCACAGATACAGGGACAGTGGAGCATTTGAAAAAGCCGTGATTCATCAGCGGATCGCTTGTATGTCAGCTTATAGACAAACCAGCTGATCTGTTGAGCATGCTAACACAACAGTGCTCAAATGTTAGCAGGAAATGGATGTTTTTAAAATTTCAGTATCGATCAATACCGATTTCCAATATCATGACAACCCCAATCTAATCTCAAGTGTTCTCGGTTGATTTTAGTGGAGGAAACTGGACATTCTGAGTCCTCTGTGATGTATTTATCCCTTATCTTTGAGTGTGTGTGAAGGTGATGAGCATTTTCTCTGAACACTGGATGATGGCAGGCACTTGAATGTCCCCTTCTGCGTGGATGAATATTCTGGAGATCCAGCAGCTTTCAGGACTCCATCTCGTCTCCATCAAATACGGGTGGTTCGAAGCTCATCACCTCCTCATACGTCAGACCTGCGCACAAACAAACACAAGCACTATTTCAAAGCAGCAAAGCACATGTTTATCAGGTAAACACATGAATAGTTTTATTTTCACTGCTTCTTCCCGCTACTCTGTTGTTGGTTTCACTCGATTCCCTTTTGAATATAAATAAAAAAGAAACGCATCCGCTGCAGTCATGGTACGGCAGCAGAGTTTCTTGATTATTATGCTGGAATGATGAGAGTATAACCAAAGACTAGGCAAGGCAAGTTTATTTATTTAGCACATTTCATACACAGTCGTAATGCAAAGTGCTTCACATAAAGAAGATAAAAAGAGACAAGTATAAATAAAATATAAACTAAAATAATGAAAACAGCATTTTTCCATATTCCAAAACAACTGGTCAACTGGTCAGAATAAACAATATTTTCCTTTGTTGTGACTGAAAAATCTGTGTTATTCTGCCAAATGTGGCTTTTCTTAACTGTTCTCAGGTTAAACTATTGATATTGTGTCATATAAATATTAATAAGCATTTCTGGAAACTTTTCTATTTGACCAATTGTCATTTTATGCTCATCTTAATATTAAATATAGAATAAAAGTCATCATAAGTTTGCAGAACTAACCAAAACTTGTGTTTTACACTCAAACAAAGCTATAAATTGTAAATTGTTAAGTTGCTGTTGATCTATTTTTGTCTAATTTTAATTTTTAAATAAATATTGAGCATTAAAATTCATTATATTAAAAGATTTTGTCATTTTAAATCAATATAAGTTTTAAGAAGTGCAAAAATGATGGTAAAAAATAAAAATATACATGGATTTACTCGGGATTTACTGTTTTTGATTGAGTAATGTTATTTATTTTTTTTCTATTAAGGTCAGATACCAATTCTTTCCAAATTTTAAATGAAAATATTGTAATTTACAGCATTTTGGGAGGGTCAACTGGTCAGAATAAACAATATTTTCCTTTGTTGTTCCGGCGTATCATATTTTCTCATTTTACTCTCTGATTTCCCCATTCTGATGATCACCCACCCAATGGCAGGGAAAGAGTTCAACAATATTATTTATCGATTTAACACACTTCATAATATTAGCCATACATGTAAAACAAAACATGTCCTTTAATTCCTATTTTGTATGTAAATCTTACTTTTCCACTCCTCGATCTCCAGGTCTCGGCTCTCGAAGCTCTGGTCGTACGGATCAGCCTCTGGTTCGTCGTCTGGATCGTGATACTGAGCGAAATACGGATGAGCGAGAGCCTGTGACGCAGTGATCCGCTTATCTGTGTCCAGAACCAGCATCTTCTCCAGCAGGTCCACCGCTGGAACACACAAAGCAGGGAAAACATCTCAAAACGCAACTTAATACACGACTCAGGGTGTCTGCAGGCTTTATGGAAAATTCTAATGCTAATTATTTTAGAGGAAGCAATCAGATTTTCAGGATTAGCAGTTAAAAAGAAGTCTTTTAAATAGAAATATTTAGTAGCATTCACTTCTTTAAAGAATATTCAATTATTTTACTATTATTTAACAATTATTTAACTATATTTAACTATGGAACTCTCGACCACGCTCACTCCGCTCTGCTAATAATATCTCTGAATTCAAATCCTTATTTAAGACTCACTTATTTTCTGAATGTTTCTCTTCTGATCTGCCAAACTGACCACTTTATCTGATCCTCCTCCACTCTGCTCATATGTCTTTTAGGTCTTGGTTGTGTAATTCCAGTCTGTTATATTTGACTTCATATATGTTTGTTTATCTTTTTGTTGCATTCCTTGTAAAGTGTCCTTGAGCTCTGGAAAGGCGCTATATAAATAAAAAATATTATTATTATTATTATTATTATTATTATTTATTTAAAAAACAAAAAAGCGATAAATGTTATTTTTATATATTACATAAAAAATATTTCAAAGGTAACCCTTCGCAATAAAGTCCCAATAATCTATTTCCATTTATTCATAATGAAAATAAAGTCATTCATTGTTAGTTCATGTTAACTCGCAGTGCATTTAACTAATGCTAACAAGCACAATTCTGGATTTTAATAATTCATTAGCAGATGTTAAACTATGATTAATAAATGCTGTACAAGGTCATGTACGCTAATACAATAACTAATGAAACCTTATTGTGAAGTATGACCATTAAAAAAGGGTATATTTCTAATAGTTACAGAGTAGTCAATAGATTAAATAGTGACGTAAATGATATAGAATGATCAATATTTAATAGTGAAAGACTATCTTCATGTTCCCCAGATGAGTTTAATACATGCTGTAAAAATGGTTACCTAATGGATTTGCGCCAATGAATACGTCTGCGAAGTTCCTCTTGGGCATATGGGGAAGAGAACTAATGTAGTTCCTTGCCTGTTAAATAAAAAAACAGTCAAGAAGTATATATTGTCAGAATAAGAAGAAAACATAAATGATGAGAGTCCGCATGGACCGCATGCTGCGACCATTTTTTTTTTCCGTATTGTGATGCAGTTCTTAGAGAAACAGAATATTAAATGAGAAAACAGAGGGTGTGGCTTTTTTTTTTTTACTGTGAGCTGATTGGATGTAGTAAAGTAGGCGTTTCTTTCAGAAAGGGTTTGGGGAGTGTTATTACAACCTAATAGACTCCACCCCCTCACCATTTCTGTTTGTTGTCATACTGACAGCTGGAGGGGTGTGGTTAAGTGTGTTAGCCACACCCAATACCTCAGAAAGACCTAATCTGAGAATTGCTCTTTTTTGGGCCAGTTTTGTTTTATTTTGATTTTAGTTTTGGGTTAGTTTTAATAGGCCATTGTGCTAGTTTTGGACAAGTTTTAATTGCCCAATATTCTAGTTTTGAGCTAGTTTTGATCGCCCATTGTTCTAGTTTTGATCAGTCATTGTGCTACTTTGGGGCTAGCTTTAATTGGCTATTGGGCTACTCTGGGCTAGTTTTCAATTGGCCATCGTGCTAGTTTTTGGACTATTTTGAACAGACATTGTGCTAGTTTTAGGTCGGTTTTGAACAGTTGTGCTGGTTTCCATTTTGGATCATTTTGATTGGCCATTGTGCTAGTTTTGGGCAAGTTTTTATTGCCCAATATTTAAGTTTTGGGTCAGTTTTGATTGCCAATCGTGTTAGTTTTGATTCTAGTTTTAAGCTAGTTTTGATTTGCCATCGTGCTAGTTTGGGACTAGCTTTAATTGGCTATTGTGCTACTTTGGGCTAGTTTTGATTGGCCATTGTGCTAGTTTTTGGGCCAGTTTTGAGCAGTTATTGTGCTACTTTTGGGCCAATTTTGAACAGACATTGTGCTAGTTTTAGGTCAGTTTTGAACAGTTAGTTTCTAACAGTTAGTTAGTGTGCTAGTTTCTATTTGAGACTAGGCATTATGTTAATATGTTGCATTTAGCTAGTTGTGGGCCAGTTTTGATTGGCAAATGAGCTAGTTTGGGGTCAGTTTTTAATGGCAATTTTGATTGGCATTTTTATTTTTATAAAATACCTCAGACAGACCTAATCTGAGAATTTAACTCAAAACAAACAGCAAGTGCATTTTAATACTTCAATTAAAGATTACAAGGGCAAGCTGTTGTTTTTTTCTTAATGACCTGCACAGATGAATTGTTTACCACAAAACTAGCAATGTGAGCTAACAAAACCAATATGATCAGTTTTGACTTGATGTGGATTTTAGACTGACAATATGCGCTGTTAAAATAAACATGTACATTTTGAATTCCCGCAGACTTTAAATGAGCACACAGAGCCAGCTTCTGCTCTTCTGTAAGCCAGAGAGGCCTCAAATGTTCATCTGGATGAGTATTCAGTGTTTTTCAGTGGAGCTCAGACAAAAACGCTTCTGCATGTCAGACAAACACTGCATCCTTTGTTAAAGTGCATGGAACATTCGACGCTGCATGCTAGAGCTCACTGCATGCCTGCGTTTAAAACATTGGCCTTAAAGCTCAGCACTGTGGGCTGAATTCAGGTCAGAGATGTGCTGCAAAATGGAAAGCAGGCGGTGCCAAGTTTTCAAGGGGAACTGGGCTAGTTTTAATCACATACCATGGGTTGTTTTTTTGATTCTGCAGGTTATGGGTCTGACATATAATTAGTATTGGACTAGATTTGGGCCAGTTTTGATTGGCTATTTTGCTAGTTTTGGGCCAGATTTCATTGGTCATGGTGCTAGTTTGGGCTAGTTTTAATGAATCATTCTGCTAATTTTTGGTCCAGTTTTTATCAGTGATAGTGATACTTTTGGGCCAAATCATATTGATTGATCATATTTACAAAAAGACTATTTGTAATTATTAATATAAGGTGATTTATATATATATATATATATATAGTGTTTTTTTATAAACAAAAGATGCAAAATATGAGTTTTATTTATGGGCAGTGGCATTTTAAAAATGTTTTAATATTAATAAAATAGTTTGATTGGACATTGGGCCAATTTCGGTTAACCATTGTGCCAGTTTTGATTGGCTATGCACTAGTTTTGATTGCCTAGTGTACTAGTTTTGGGCTAGTATTAATGGACCATTGTGCTAGTATTTAGGCCAGTTTTGATGGGCCATTGTGCTAGTTTTGGGCCAGTTTTCATTGGCACCTGTTCTAATTTTGGGGCAGTTATGACTTTGATTATAGTTTTGGACCCAGTTTTGATTGCCTTGTTCTAGTTTTTGTTCAGTTTTGAATAGATTTCATGATGGTTTTGGGCCAACTTCTATTGACAATTGTGCTAGTTTTGGGTCAGTTTTGATTGGCTGTTTTTCTAGTTTTGAGCTTGTATTGATGGGCCAATTAGCTAGTATTTAGGAAAGTTTTGATTTTGATTCTAGTTTTGGACCCAGCTTTGACTGACAATTGTGCTGGTTTTGGGCAAGTTTTATCGCCCATTGTTCTAGTTTTGGGTCAGTTTTGGGCAAGTTTTGATTGAATTTCATGCTAATTTGGGCTAGTTTTGATCTGTCATTCTGCTAGTTTTTTAGTCCAGTTTTGATCAGTCACTGTGCTAGTTTTGGGATAGTTTTGAAAATTTATTGTGCTAGTTTTGGGATCATTTTGATTGTCCATTATGCTAATTTGCCATTATGCTAGTTTTCACATTTTGCCAACAAGTTTGGGTCTATTTCAATTGGCCCATGTTCTAGTTTTGATTTCTAGTTTTTATCATATCAATTTTATTTATATGGTTGCATTAAAACAATTATACTCTGCCAAATATAGTTTCCATTTAGGATAATGTTGATTGGCCATTATGCTAATATTTTGCCAATTTTTAATGGTCATTTAGCTAGTTTTGGGCCAGTTTTGATTGGCAAGTGAGCTAGACTTGGGTCAGTTTTTATTTGGCTATCTTGTTAGTTTTGGGGCAAGTTTGATTGGCACTTGTTCTAGTTTTGGGCCTTTTTAAATTTAATTCTAGTTTAAATTCAACTTTAATTTGCAATCGTGCTAGTTTGGACTAGTTTTAATTGGTCATTGTGCTAGTTTTTGGGCCAGTTTTAAACAGCCATTGCACTAGTTTTGGACTTATTATCATTGCACATTATGCTAATACTTGGCCAATTTTGATTGCTAGTTTTGGGCCAGTTTTAACTGGCAAATAAGCTCATTTTTGGGCCAGTTTTGAATAGTCATTGTGCTAGTTTTCATTCATTTTAAATGGCTGTTGCGCTGGTTTTATTGCGAAAACCTGCCAGCCCTGGGTGGAATTTTGTAAATTGAAAAATGAAGCAGGACAAATAGAGACGGGTAGATGTTTCCCCATCTGGAGGACCTTCTGTGGGTTCAGCAAGTTCTCCATTCTCACCTCGTGGCTCGGCATCCTGCTTATTAGAGAAGCCGGAGGGGTTCCCGTCAATCGCATTATCTGCTGAAGCTGGTTTATATCTTGGGGAACCCAGGTCAAGGGGAGTACCATCAAAATACACTCACAGATTTTTTTCACAGATTAAAAAAAGAAGGAAAAAACAGGACAGACAGGAGAGGAATGGAGAACATAAGTGGACACCGTGTTAGATTGGACACACACTGCACAAAATCATCTCTTACCCTGTGTTTTTGTCTTGTTTTCAGTACTTGTTTAATTGAGTTGCATAATGACCAGTGTTTGTTTCCTCAATGACATAAAGACGAAATATGTCTAGTTTTGGGTCCAGCTTTAATTGGCCATTGTGCTAGTTTTTGACACGTTTTGATTACCCCTTGTTCTAGTTTTGGGCTAGTTTTGATTGGCCATCATGTAAGTTTTGGGCTAGTTTAGATTGGCTAATGTGCTAGTTTTGGCTAGTTTTACAACATTTTAATGTCATCTAGTTTGTAAATGATGTTGCATGCTGATGTAGTAACTGTTAGTATGGAATAATATCCATGTCATCAAATCTTCTCATCTTAGCCTTAGAAAAAACACTTTCATTGTAAAGTTTTCAATCAGCTTTGATTCGATCTACATTTAAAGGCTACATCTTAAAGTAAATGAACCCCTAATTTATTAACAGATGCACTTGTTCTAGTTTAGCGCCACTTTGATTTTCCATTGTGCTAATTTTGGGCCAGTTTTGATAAGTCATTGTGCTAGTCATGGACCGGTTTTGATTGGCCAATAAGCTAGTTTTGGTACAGTTTTAAATGGCACTTGCTTTAGATTTTGGCCAGTTTGTTTGATTTTGATTCTAGTTTTGGGCAATTTTTTTTTGTCCAATTATCTAGTTTTGGTCTGTTTTGATCAATGACTGTAAAAAATATGGACGACGCGACAGCCCCTTTTGCCATTGAACGCCTTGAGGGCAAAACGCCTGCTTGACGGGCACAAACTGTCGCAAAAGACTGCTGAAATTGGAGCCAGACATGCGCAGAAGGACTGTCTGATGGAGCCAGAGGAGGAGCCGCGATAATGAGCGGAGTCGAGCTTCCAACCAAACGCTTTATGTAAAATCAAACACGCCCCCCGAACTTCTCACTCGACTGCCGGTGTCTGCACTATAACAAACGCTCACTGATGTAAATAGAAGCACTTACATTAAAAAACACAATAATATACGGTTTAAAAACGGTGTGATGTAAGCTGTTAAACTTTAATAAAAGCAATACATGGTGGACTGCAGAAATAAACGATCTTTTATACACTCTAGCCTGAATATGAGCACAAATAATATATTCTCTTATTGTTATATTTGTTGTTGGTATTTGTTATCTTCATAGGGGTAGAAATAACACTTGTAAAATATGAACAATAACATATAAACAACACATACATTTTTATAAAGGTTTTTATTTTTAATTAGCCATCAACAGAACCCAAAATATAGCCTACACACCATAACGATTTACCATGCGGGAACAATCGTGCGTTTAGAAGATAAATACAGCAAGATTACTAAATATCAACAGGATATTTACACATCCCAACCCTGCAATTTGTCAATTTGTGCAAAAAAACTTTGCACTATTAATACAACGTCTATCTGCTGTAACATCACTAGTATATTGTTTATTCATTTTCGCTTGAATTGTTTATTTATTTAATTTTTTTTTGCCTCCGTTTTAATTTGGTTTATTCGATGCCTTCATTATATCTGGCAACGAGGAATTTACATTCTTTTTAATGTTAGCTGGAGTGTTCAAATAAAACGCCAACAGTAAATGATGTAAATAAATAATATCTAACATTTACAGCTCTATTAGGTTATATAAGATTCGATTTCAAGAACCTTATAATGATTTATAACAGCAAATTCAGTAGATCACTTAATAACATGCCAAAACTTAAAATGCAGAGACGTGCAAGTTCAAATAACCTTACAGGAGATCAACGTGGAGATTATTATTTAAACACAAAGAGAATTACTGCTAACGATCTCCTGTATACCCCGTACTTAAATGGGTTTATTTTATTGTGCAGTTTTATTGTCATTTTCGTATTTATTATTATTATTATTTAATACTTGTGCAATCGATACAGGTTTATTGTTATTTATTTTGTCCTTTATTTAAATAATTGCTATGCTGTTTGCATCTTTATTCAAAGGTTAAACTCAGTGATACACGTTGCGTTCACATAGTAGCATGCGTTTGTTGTTATATCAACAAAAATGGGTGTAATAACGTTAACAAATGTGAGGGTTTTATATAATGAAGATTCAATCGCGCCAGCTCCGGGCATCAGCGCATAACCTAGTCGCGGCGTCGCGGGCTGATTCCGGCTCGCATGCGGCAGCGCCTGCTCGTTTGGCCGCCGCATCTGGCTCAATTGACTCAGGCTGGAATCGGGCAGTGAGTCCAGGCATCCGGAGTAGGTCCAGCAGAGGTAGTCAGTCTGAGGGGTAAGTCTCCGGCAGGCAAGAACTGGCCCCAGTGTATTTTGCTATCTGGGTGGCTAGGCGTGTATTAGCAAACTAATAAAGCCCGAAAAAAGCTCTGACCTTAGCGAATAAACAGTGTTCCACCAGATCATGTATGTCAGAAACTGTAGTTTACTGCTGAACTCATTTTGTCATGGTAAAATAACACAGAAATCGAGTAATAACACTTCAGTCTTCTTCCGAAGCTCAGACGCCGCGCTTTGAGAAACTGTCAATCACAGCTGTCAATGACGATGACACGCCCAGCATTAAATTACTGCTAAAAACAAACTGTTTACAAAAATGAGGATCTGCACCTATTTCAGCACAATAACCAGTGCCTTAATCGACCAGAACCATCTTTCGGGACATTTTATTGCAAGTGTAATTAATTTTTTTATTTGAGCTCAAGTCTCCTTCATTAACACGGAGGAGGCGGGCTTTATGACTTGTACTGCAGCCAGCCCCCAGGGGGCGATCTAACGGCCGAGACCTTCACTCAAACGCAGGCTTGCGGCACACTTGGTTTTGATAGGCCATTGTGCTAGTTTTCGGACAGTTTTGAACAGTTATTCATTTTGCTAGTTTTGGGTCAGTTTTGAATAGTCATTGTGCTAGTTTTGGGCTGGATTTAAACAGTTGTGCTAGTTTTCATTTTTATTGGCCATTATGCTAACTATGCCATTTTTTAATGGTCATTTAGCTAGTTTTAGGCAAAATTTTATAGTCAAATGAGCTAGATTTAGGTTTTATTGGCCCTTGTTTTAGTTTTGGGCCAGTTTTGATTTTGATAATAATAATAACAATAATACTAAATAATAATAATAATAATAATAATAGTGCTAGTTTTGAACAGTCTTTGTGCTAGTTTGGGCCAGTTTTGAACAGTCATTGTGCTAGTACTGGGATAATTTTGATTGGCCAATAAGATACCGTTGGGTTAGTTTTGAATGGTCATTGTGTTACTTTTTAGTGAATTTTGACAGTTCGTTAAGCTGGTTTTGTTGCAAAAATCTGGCAGCCCACTTGTTCTAGTTTTGCGCCACTTTGATTGGCCATTGTGCTAGTTTTGGGCAAGTTTTTTTTGCCTACTGTTTTGGGACGGTTTTGGGCCAGTTTTGTTTGGCCATTGTGCTAGTTTTGGGCAAGTTTTTTTTTTTTTGCCTATTGTTTTGGGCCAGTTTTGGGCCAGATTTGATTGGCCATTGTGCTAGTTTTGGGCAAGTTTTTTTTTGCCTATTGTTTTGGGCCAGTTTTGTTTGGCCATTGTGCTAGTTTTGGGCAAGTTTTTTTTTTTTTGCCTATTGTTTTGGGACAGTTTTGATTGGCCATTGTGCTAGTTTTGGGCAAGTTTTTTTTTTTTTTGCCTATTGTTTTGGGCCAGTTTTGGGCCAGTATTGATTGGCCATTGTGCTAGTTTTGGGCAAGTTTTTTGCCTACTGTTTTGGGACTGTTTTGGGCCAGTTTTGATTGGCCATTGTGCTAGTTTTGACTGGCCATTGTGCTAGTTTGTGGCTAGTTTTAATTTGCCAAAGTGCAAGTTTTTGGGCCAGTATTGAACATGTTATTGTGCTAGTTTTGGGATAATTATGACTGGCCATTATGCTAATATTTGTCTAATTTCGATTGGTCATTATGGTTTGGGCCAGTTTTGATTCCAGATGAGCTATTTTTGGTCATTTTTGCTTTTATGGTTTAAAAGCAAGTACAGATATCTTAAAGTCTAAAGTTTTCAATCAGCTTTGATTCGATCACTTAAAGCCTAAATCATCAACCCCTAGTTTATTAACAAATGCTTATATATTTGTACTGGAAAACAAGATACAGTGTAAAAAAAAGTCATTTCTGCAGTGCGAGAGACGAGTTAATCCAAGAGTCCGAAAAAAGTGCATGACAAAGCAGAGCGAGAAAGCCATTGGTACACACTCATAACTGTGGGCTGATTCTGCAAAAACCATCTGCCGACTATCTGACTACTGTGTAGGTGCTGATGCCATAACTATCAGTTCATGCCGGTGAGAAAGGAAAGAGTATGAAAGGGTGATCGGTGGTGACTGAAGCAAGCAGAGCAAAACACCAGGCCGTCAAACTGGAGCAGAACAGAAAAACTCACAGACTCTGAAGAGATTTTCATCAAGAGCTCAGGCCCTGGGGTCCCGACCAGCATCATGATAAGCTTCAACTGATCAATGTCTTTCAGAGCAACATAAAGGAAAATGCGAAGGAATGGGGTGACTATGAAAGCAGGAACTGAACGGGGAACAAATAGCAATAATAAAACCATTATTCTAATCCATGGAACCATAAAACTAAAAAATAAAATCAGGAAAATGGGATGAGGGATGAAATAAAACTGAGCCATGATTGGTCCAAAGCCATGCAATCTTCAATAACAGTAATGTATGTTTACCCTAAAGTCCTTCACTGCTCTGATTTAGGCATGTTAGCAGACTGAATATACTCTTACATACACTTAAAAAAACGCTGGGTTATTTCAACCCAACCCAGACCGCTAGATTAACATTTTTAATTAAATGAATAGGTTTCCCAGTGATGTGTTGCGACTGGAAGGGCATCCGCTGCACAAAAATGTGCTGGATAAGTTGGCGGTTCATTCCGCTGTGGTGACCCCGGATTAATAAAGGGACTAAGCCGAAAGAAAATGAATGAATGAATAAATTAATAGGTCCAAATTTAACCCAATGTGTTGGTTGGTCCATATTTTACTCAATTTGTGTTTAAATAACCCAGCATTTCTAAACAGTGTAAATATTGATGTCAATATAGCCACTCAAATATTCTCTACAACAGTTCAAAGGGGCTGTATGTGAGTTTTTGACTCCTCTAAAGCATACAAATACCATATGTTTGAAGAAACATGCTAAACATACTTGTTTATTTGAAAAAAATAAGACTTAAGTCAGAATTCTGCCCTGAAAACCTGCGTTTCGAGTCAGAATGTCTTAGCTTTGGTCTCTATGACCAGCCCACCGCCAGTTTAGCCGAATATATTTTGGGACCCCGGGTTGCCTTGATTGAAAACACAACTTAATACATATCAGGTATGATGGTTGTCTTAATATATGAGGGCATGGCTGAGAATGCAGACTCCAAAATAAATTGCAGATACAGAGGTTTTTTTTTTTTATCGTTTAACAAAAATGATAATTATTATTAACATAAACATTTCAGAGAAGCTTACAGTGTAGGGAATGATCATCAGGCATGCTTGTTCCTGTTGGTGCCGTCAATCTGGCAACCTGCATGTGCATTAAGTCAAAGGAGGAAAGGCCAGGGAGGAAAAAAGCTGCCATGTTTTAAATTTGGAGTGCAATACCTAGTTCAACCACTAGATGTCAATCCTACATACTGCACCTTAAAGGCTGATTTATAATTTCTAGAACATGACAATGAGTTCACTGTACTCAAATGGCCTCCACAATCACCAGATCTCAATCCAATAGAGCACCTTTGGCATGTGGTGGAACGGGAGATTAGCATCATGGATGTGCCTCCAACAAATGCTGCTGAAAGTGTGAGTGTGTTGTACCTTTCACCGAGGGTTTGATTCGGTGACCTCATGAACCGGAACAGAAGAAGAAACATTAGGATTCCCAGAGCGGTGCGGTCGTGCTACAATCTCTGTGTTTTAAAGGAACACTCCACTTATTTTGAAAACAGGCTCATTTTACAGCTCCCCCAGAGTTAAACTGATGAGTTTTCCCATATTTGAATCCATTCAGCTGATCTTTGAGTCTGCTGGAAGCACTTTAGAAGCTAAGAGCAAAGTTGATCAACAGGAGCATCAGGGAGTGTGATTCAGCATCTGACTCAGGATAAGTGAGGTGCCGCTGATCACACTAGCAGACAGAGAGGGCGACAGGCAGCACATGCCAACACTCTCACATCACTGAAGGGTTTTTCTGGAAAAAGCGACTGAATGAAGAGGAAAGGATACGATCTGTGCCGGGAAACAGGGTCCGTCCTGTGAGGAGCTCAGCCATGATGCAGCCCACCGACCAGATGTCCACTGCAACACAACACAACAACACTCCGCTCACTTGAGGAAACAAAATATGGTGAAGATCACATGAGATTCATTTTACTAACCCCTTGTGGGAACTGCACAAAAAACAACATATATAATGCATAAAGATTAATGCTGCTTTAAGATAGCTTGTCCAAACGGCAAATCAATCAATAAATTAATAAAATCAATCATCAATCAAGTCAATATAAATATAAAATACAATACAAAATAAAATAAATAAAAATGAAACTAAATAAATAAAATTAATTTATTAAATGAAAAAAATTTAAATCAAAGCAAAATAAAAATAACTAAAAATAAAACAAAAAATTAATAAAATTAAGCAAAATAAAATAAAATATAAATAAAAAAATCAAATAAAATCAAAATAAAATATAAATAAAATACAAATAAAATACAAATAAAAATAAAAAATACAATAATAAAAATAAAATAAATAAAAATAAAACAAAATAACAATAAAATTAAATTACATAAATCTAAATAAAATCAAATGAAAAACAAATAAAAATTCAAGTAAAATAAAATAAAAATAAATACAATTAAAACACAAATAAAATATTTTAAAATAAAATAAAAATAAAATATTTTAAAATAAAATTAAAATAAAATTAATTATGCTTGGCAATTAGTATTTGGAAAATAATATTTTTGTGGTTTTCAAATTAAAAAAACCTAAGTGGCATTCAAATTCTAAAAATTACATTTTTTTTTTAAATCAGGACTGATGTTGGTAAAATTTTCATTTTTATTTCTGCATCAATGTTAATAAATATTAATAGTCTTAACTATTCTGAATACAATTTGTATTGTTAAATCATGAATAAAAAATTTTACGACAGAATACTGAATTATTAAAAATATGAATATTACTGGTTAAACAGCAAATCTATGCATTTACTTTATTTTTTTATTTATGCACTTTGACAGCACTTAAATTTGAATTATCTTTTTGTTTTTTACTTTAGTTAAAATAATTTTGCTGTGCACTTACATTTATATATTTTCATAACTTAATTACAACATAAATTTCAGTAGCTCTAATAAATTGTGTGAATTTTGCAATGTTCCAAAGTTAGTTTACTTTTCCCCCAATGTCTCCATTCAGCTGTTACTTATATTTTAGTCATTCATTTGTTTTCCTTTGGCTTAATCCCTTAGTTATCAGCCACCGTGCTGCCTTTGCGAATTAATAAAAAAATTAAATATGATTAAATAAGTTGTGTTTTATGTAGTCTTTAGTTACAAGATCTAATGAAAAGTGAAGCAGTTTTTAATTAATCAGCACAAATGAAGCATTACAGGTACAAAAATCCAGACCTGTCATGTTGTAGTGCATCCAGTTGAGCATGATTTCTGGAGCTCGGTACCATCTTGTGGCAACGTAACCCGTCATCTCATCATCGGTCAGCCGTGCCAACCCAAAGTCCAAAATCTGAACAAATAAAATCACAGTCAGCCATAAAGCAGACTTATCAGAGCTCAGATTACCCAGCATGCCTCACTGTTTGACTGACTATAAACTCATAATAGCACATGTAGCTGGAAAATACGTCAGACAATGATGATGATGTCACACAAATCTCACCTTCAGTTCACAGTCTTCATTTACTGCCAGGTTACTGGGTTTAAGATCCTGCAAGATGAGCAAATAAGTGAAAATGACTCGTATGTTTGACCACAAACTGCTTTCAAGCTTCAATATAATCAGGTTTACACAAGCAGTGGTGCAAGAAAGATCTGCACTAGACTCTGTAACTTAACGGAAAATCCCCTGTCTGCTCAGACAGATGAATGTCTAATCAACCAAACTGAATTTTTAAAGCTAGATGATTTAAAGTGGACCTATAATGCGAAACTCACTTTCATAAGGGGTTCAAACACAGTTGTGTGGCAGCAGTGTGTGATTATAATCAGCCTTTAATCGTGAACATGTTATATTATTTTATTTTATATATTCAAACTTGATAAAGACAGTCTGCAGAAACACTTTGACATTCTCTCTTTATTGTGTCATCAGAAGGGGAAAAGCCCCGCCTACTAGTGACCATCTCATTATCATAGGACATTAGTTAGAGCTGCACGATCACATTTTCTCACGATTCTGTAGATGCAAAATAAAGGTATGGTTAAAACAAACATATGGCAACATCGATAATAATATTATGTGTAGGTCTAGTGGTTTTTATAAATAGTTCTATTCTATTCTTATAATAATTATGATGTTGAATTATTATGTTTGAGATATATGCTTCTGTCATATTAGTAGGGATGTAACGGTATTGTAAATACCGTCATACCGCAATATTAATTTTTTTCGATATTACCGTAGTCGCATGACTCGGTAAAACTATAGGTCTTCTGAGAAAATTTGCTCAGGCGAATGAAGCGAACGGGAGGTAGCGGAAACTACAATTCCCATCAGCCCAGGCTTGGCCATAATCCCTTGCGGTCTGTTGTCGCTACAGATCCAGTAATGCGGAAATGGAGTGTGCTGCTAGAAGCGGGGATCAAAAAGAGCTGGAAATGATCGAACCTGAAGCGGGTGTTGTCGCCGCACGCGTACTGAATAGCGGTGTTGTCGCGCGCGTTCTGATCAGCTGTGTTGTCGCGCGCGTACTGTAAAGCGGGGAGGGGGGGTTGAGCGCGCATACTCAAGAGCGGTGTTGTCGCGCGCCTACTGAAGGGCGAGACGGAGGGTGTGACACAGCACACTGTTCAGATTGATACAGACATGAGACCTCTATCTCACTCATGGCTTGTCCTCTCAAGTGGGGGAAAGACAATGCACAACGTTACCCACTGCTGTCAACCTGGGCCAAGTCATATCTCTCTGTCCCAGAAACCTCAGTCCCAAATGAGAGGGTTTTTTTCTGTTGCAGGGGACATTGTAAATACCCAGAGATACCAGCTTTTACCAGATTATATTTATATGATAATTTTCCTTTAAACCCATCTCTATCTAAGTGAGTGAGTGATTAAATGTTGAATGTGATGAGTTTTCAACAATACTAAATTGAAACTTTATTTTTTTACATGGTTTAATATTTTTTTGTTATTAAAATTGAAGTTCCTGTTTCAAAGCTTACAGATAGATGGCTAATTTGTATGTCATTGACACTTTTGGCACTTTTTTGGAGTATTTTCATAAGTTTTGTTTTTCCTGTAAATGATTCAATAAATACCGTACCGTGACATTCATACCGAGGTATTACCGTACCGTGAAATTCTGATACCGTTACATCCCTACATATTAGACAAACTTATTCACTGGTAAAATCAGACATTTTCCATTATCAGATTATATTCAATAATATATAGGCTAGAGTAGTTATACTGACATTGTAAACATTTATTTTCATGCACAGCTCATGAACTCATTTCATGGGTTCGCTATGAAAGAAAAAACATATCTAATGCTTGCCGTAATCGTAACTAAAAAAATTTCATTTTGACTGCTAAGTGCTTGTTCATACTCCCAAACGATCACTCTGTGCCACAAACTGAATATTATTTACAATTGTATTACTTGTTACTCGCAACATTTGCAGGTTCTGTTCACTAAAGTAGACGCGCGCACATCTATCATTAAGTAGAGCGCGCGCCCTCTTAGTGATAACAGCTCACGGCCAGCAGCCTACGTCACGTGTGATTTCCCGGCCGCGAAAACATCATTATATGAAGACCAAAATGACATTTTAAGGTGAACTATACCTTATAAATACCTTATAAATACAATGCGACTCATTCAACATCATTTAGAGGTGTCTATGTCACTGAGCAACGTGTGTGAAACAATAAACAGACTCATGCAGCCGCCTTTACTTCTCTCCTGAACTTGAAAACATGATTGGCAGAATCGTAGAAATGCTGGATTAAGATCGTCTAGGGGGTCGAATCGAGATCGCGATCTTTTAACGATTAATTGTGCAGCTCTAACGTTAGTCTTGTTTTTAAATCTGCCACTATGCTGACACACAGGCGTTTGTAGCTTTGGCCTCTTTTGAAAAGAGCACAATGTGATTTGAATTTAAAGTCACAGTCACCAAACACCACAATTAGGATCAAAGCCTTAAAGGGGCCGTTTCAGAGAGTTATAAAACAATATTCATGGAGTATTTTGAGATAAAACTTCACACACACACACACTCTAGGGACATCAGAGAATCGTATAAAGGGGCATAATAGGTCTCCCTTACAAGTGCAGTAGGTGATGGTCTTCAGAAGCATTTTTTGTTGTGCTGGTTGAAAGTCTCTTCACAGTCTAAAGGCCCGTGCACACCCGTACTCGCGTTTTCCGTCGATGTTTAACGCCTTGTGACTAAGGGTGTACTTACACTATGCCATCCGTACCGTGCCCAGGCCCGTTTCCCGGATCGTTTGAGAAGTGTGAGTGCGCTGAATCGGGCTCAAGCACGGTTCACTTGGCCGGCCCTGGCCCGGTTGGAAGAGGTGGGCCTGAGCGCGGTTCACTTGGGCTTGGGCGAAACTGAAAGCGAGACGTGACTTTTAAGGGGCTGTTTCATATGGATTTATTAATCATTCTTTCTGTTCAGTATTGATGCCCAAGTCCGATTTGTTGTAACATGTACTGAACAGTGCACTGAACAGTAAGATTGAATAATTAATCCACATGAAACATTCCTTTAAAAGTCACGTCTCGCTTTCAGTTTCGGGCTTCGGCACGTTTTGCACTCACACACAAGCGTACCGCGCCAAAGCCCAAGTGAACCGCGCTCAGGCACACCTCTTCCAACCGGGCCAGGGCCGGCCAAGTGAACCGTGCTCGAGTCCGATTCAGCGCACTCACACTTCTCAAACGATCCGTGAAACGAGCCTGGGCATGCTTCGGATAGCACAGTGTGAGTACGCCCTTAAAAACCTGAATCAATATGGAGTTACTTTAGCACGCTGGAGGAAGGATGACACCATGGCTGGAGTATTACTGTTAGACAGGTAATGTTCTGTTTTAAAACTCTTTTAGTCAGACTTAGCTGATGTTAGATTGTGTTCTGATATGAATGGCTTATGTGCACAGACGTGATGTTCAGTCACTGAAATCTCCCGGTGAAAGATTGATGTGATTATTTTCAGTTTCATAAGGTCCTTTAACAGCATCGATAATGTAGATTTACATTTAGTTTAACAACAAAACATCAGTAAATAACGCTATTCCGCCTAACCCGCTTTATTGAGCTGAAGTTGCTTTTATATTCACATTGGGTCATTTTTGAACAACGACAGCCTTCCTATACTGTTTACCATGCTACTCTGAATATTCGCTCTGAAATAGCATGTAAGTGTGGCTAATAAGTAATAAATGTGGTTCTTAATTCCTGCACGGCGCTGGCTAAACACTAACTGGCGAATGACATGAACTAGTGGGTTGTCTGTCTGTTGTTGTGACACAGTGCACAAGCTCGCGATTTCAGGGGGTGTGGCTTTGAATCACAGTCCCTCCCCGCCATCCGAAGATGTTAGCATCTTGGCAGATCACCTACTGCACCTTTAAAGTTTCTCCAGATGGTTGTCTGATACTATTTTTTAAAGTAGCAACCACCAAGTTAAAGTGATGGATGAAAGTGTGGTGTACTCACTCTGTGGATGATGTCTGCTGAATGAATGTACTGTGGAGAGAAAGACACTTTAATCAAATACAGCATGTATACAGCAAACATCACATCATGCAAGATCTGTCCTTCGTAAACCAGATGAATTACGTAAATATACACAAATATCTGTCAAGAATGAGAGGAAAACTTGGCCCGGAGCTTCAGACCAAGTGGAACAACGAGTATTCCCAGTGATGTTGAACAGATTCAGGAATTTTCCTAAATGTCACTTTAAGCTGTGTAGAAGTGTCTTGAAGAATGTCTAGTCTAAATTTATCATGGCAAAGAGAAAATAAATCAGTTATTAGAGATGAGTTAGTAAAACAATTATGTTAGAAATGTGCTTAAAAAATCTGCTCTCCGTTAAACAGAAATCATCGCTGAAGTATTTTGAACCGATGACAGCTGAGCACTTAACAAACTTTATTGAAATATCTATTTTTCTGATCCATGTTCTTTTGTCCTTGTGCTGCGAAGGTAGGTGAATGTTTACATGACGTATTTAGCATAAATTAGTTTCGTTTCGTTTATATCTCTTTCTTAAACATCTTGGTACAATTTTACAGACGTATTTCTTTAATGTGTCATACGCATTTGTGCTGCTTTACGATTATGATTGCCTTTTTAATTACGAAAACGGGGGGAGATAGAATGTCACCTAGATATAGGCCTATGTATTCACAATGACTTTGGCATACTCTTGAGATAGTCAGATGCAAAAATTGTATTGAACGTTTTAGTTAGTTCTAATAATAATGCTCTGAATTCAGTCCTTTTTTGTCTGAAAGGACCTGCTCACTTCAGTTTACATGGTCAGTTTTCCAAATCAGTTCTTGTTTGTTGTTTATTTGAATTAATGAAAGTACCAATAATGTTTTCTTGCACATTTGGATACAGTTAAAACATTTTTGTATATGCTGGTATAAATTATGAATAAAAAACAAATATTAAAAAAAAAAAAAAAAAAAAAGAAATCAGGGACAAAAACATACAGGGCTAATAATTCTGCCTTTAACTGTATAAACAGCACTCTGAGTTCTGCTCATGCCTTTGGCACAGCTGCTATCAATAACTCTTGTAACACTGAGCAAATACAGGACAGTAAAATGGGGAAAGCGTGCGCAGCGACAAACCTTCAACGCCCGCAGGATCTGATAAATGAGGAACTGGACGTGATCATCTGTCAGCTTCTGGCACTTGACGATGTTATTGAGGTCTGCTCCCATCAGGTGAGTCACCAGATACCTGCATACACACACACACACACACACACACTTAGTCAACATGACAGAGCAACTTATTCATGACACTGAGGATTACCACAAAGTATAGATGTTCAATACTAGACAATAATCACCCTGAATATGACTTCAATTATTCCACTGAAAATACTTATTAAGAAGTTTCTAGCATGATTCTAGCATGAATTAGCATGTTATTAGCATGTTTCTAATATAGGCTACCATGTTAACATGATTCCAATGGTGTTAGCATGTTTAAGCATGAATTAGCATTATGCTAGCATGAATTGGCAATTTTTAGCAACTTTCAAACATGAATTAAAATGTAACTACCATGATTCTAGCATGGATTAGCATGTTATTATCATGATTCCAACATGAATTAGCATGTAACTAGCATAATTTTAGCATAAAATAGCATGCTGTCAGCTTGATTGCAACATAAATTGGCATGTAACTAGCATAATTGTAACATAAATTAGCATGCTGTCAGCTTGATTGCAACATAAATTGGCATGTAGCTAGCATAATTGTAACATAAATTAGCGTGTTGTCAGCTTGATTGCAACATAAATTGGCATGTAACTAGCATAATTTTAGCATAAATTAGCATGTTGTCAGCTTGATTGCAACATAAATTGGCATGTTGTCAGCTTGACTGCAACATAAATTGGCATGTAACTAGCATAATTTTGGCATGAATTAGTTGTTTTCATGTTTCTAACAATTAGCATGCTATTAGCATGAATCCAACATGAAATAGCATGTTGTGAGCATGTTTCTAGCATGAATTAGCATGTTGTTAGCATGATTATAACATTTATAGCATAAATAAGCGTGATTCTAGCCTGAATTAACATGATTCTAGCATGAATTAGCATGTAACTAGCATTATTCTAACAATAATTAGCATGTTTCTAATATAGGCTACCTTGTAGTAAACATGATTCCAACATTAACTACCATGGCGTTAGCATGTTTTTAGCATGAATTAGCATGATGCTAGTATGAATTGGCATATTGTTAGCACGAGCATGAATTGAGATGTTTTAGCATGTTTCAAACATGAATTACATGTAACTACCATGATTCTAGGATGAGTTAGCATGTTGTTATCAGGATTCCAACATGAATTAGCATGTGACTAGCATAATTCTAGCACGAATTAGCATGTTGTCAGCTTGATTTTAACACAAATTGGCATGTAACTAGCATAATTTTAGCATGAATTAGTATTTTCATGTAATTAGTTTTCATGTTTCTAACAATTAGTATGTTGTTAGCATGAATCCAACATGAAATAGCATGTTGTGAGCATGTTTCTAGCATGAATTAGCATGATTCTAGCCTGAATTAACATGTTGTTCACATGATTCTAGCATGAATGAGCATGCTGTTAGTATGACTGCAGCATGAATTAGCATGTAACTAGCATCATTCTAGCATGAATTAGCATGCTAGCATGATTCCAACATGAATTAGTATGTTGTTAGCATGAATCCAACATGAAATAGCATGTTGTTACTATATTTTTAGCACGAATTAGCATGCTGTTAGCATGTTTCCAACATAAATTAGTAAGTTGTTAGCATGAATCCAACATGAAATAGCATGTTGTTACTATGTTTTTAGCACGGATTAGCATGCTGTTAGCATGTTTCCAATATGAATTAGCATGTTGATAACATGATTCCAACATAAATTAGCAAGTTGCTAACATTTTTTGCATGAATTAGCATGTTGTTAACATTAATTAACACCTTGTTAGAATGTTTCACGCATGAACTAACATGTTGGTAGCATGATTCTAGCATGAATTAGCATGTTGTTAGCATGTTTCAATGATGGAATAGCAATGATGGAATATGTCACTAGCCTGTCACTAGCAAGATTAGCATGTCAGTAGGATGCTAGAATTATTAGCACGTGTTAGAACAGCTAGTCACAGTCTATGAGACAGTTGCTAGGGTGTTGTACGTGGTTGTTAGGGCTTGGCTAGTAAGTTTAAAGCTCATCAGTGATTGGCTGCTGGCTAGTCTGAGTTAAATGAGGCCAGACTCTAGTCTGTAGGACAGTCTGATGCAGAGTTATGAGTTGACAAAGGGTGATCCAATGTTAAGTCAATGACAGTCTTCTACAATGGAAGTCTATGGGACAGCTGCTAGGGTGCTGAAATTGGTTTCTCAAGCCACCATAACTATTGTTTTTTGTTCTTAATGACATGCAGACATTAATTGCTTAGCACAAAACTAGCAATGTAAGCTAACAGAGTCAATATGATGAGTTTTGATTTCAGGTGTGCATTAATTGGGAAAAGGGGGCAGGGAGTAGTCCTGACCATCAACCAGTACAAACAGTCTTGAGGAATGTGTCTGGTGCGGAGCCAGCAGGACACAAGGGTCGCCCGCTATCCACTCCGCTGAACTGAGAAAGGAATCCAAGATGCACTCCTCTGACCCTACTACGAGCGCTATCATTAAATTTAACAAGCATGAGCACTTTACTCTAAAAGCACTGCTGCTGAAAAAGCAAGAGCAGGAATTTTTCCCAGTATTTCCTATAATATTTTTTCTGCTGGAGGAAGTCTTATTTCTTTTATTTCGGCTAGAGTAAAAGCAGTTTAAAATGTTTTATGACTTTTAAGGTGAAAATTATTAGCACCCTTAAGCAATATTTGTTTTCGGTTGACTACAGAACAAACCCTAGTTATAAATTGACTTGCCTAATCATTTAGGGGCCGCGGCTATCAATCATTTAGGGCGGGGCTATCAGACATTTAGGCTGGGGCTATCAGTTATTAAGGGTGGGGCTATCAGTCATTAAGGGCGGGGCTATCCATCATTTAAGGTGGGGCTATCAGTCATTTAAGGCGGGGCTACAAGTCATTCAGGGTGTGATTATCAGTCATTAAGAGTGGGGCTATCAGTCATTTGGGGCGGGGCTATCAGTCATTTAGGGGCGGGGCAATCAGTCATTTTGGGGGGCGTGGCTATCAGTCAATAATATCAGTCAATAATAAATAATCATAGATTTTAACATTTCCTCAACTTTATTCTCCTGTGTATTTTTTTTTCTTTTTCAAATATTTCCCAAATTATGTTTAAAAGAGGAAAGAAAGTTTTATTTGTTTTATTTCGGCTGGACTAAAAGCAGTTTTTAATTGTTTTAAAGCCAATTTAAGGTCAATATTATAATCCTCTTTAAGAAATATTTGTTTTGATACTCACAGAACAAACCACTGTTATACAATGACTTGCCTAATTACCCTAACCTGCCTAATTAACGTAGTTAAGCCTTTCAAATGTCACTTTAAGCTGAAAACTAGTATCTTAATAAATATCTGGTCAAATATTTTGTGCTGTCATCAAGGCAAAGATAAAACAAATCAGTTATTAGAATTGAGCTATTAAAACTATTATGATTAGAAATGTGCTGAAAAAAATCTTCTCTTCATAAAGCAGAAATTAGGGAAGAAAATAAATCAGGAGGGCTAATAATTCAGGAGGATTCTGACTTCAGCTGTAAGTATAAGGATACAGAAATATCCCTCACCAAAGACGCTCCTCCTCTTGCCCCGGGCTCTGCTCTCTTCATTCTCCAGGAGATTTTGGGGATGTGTTATTTATAGGAGTATTCTTATTTTTAGCTCTTGTTTCCATGCATCTTGCAGAGCTTGTGCTCGTGTTTTATTAAGCACGGTGAGTCCTTTCCACCAGTATATATGTGCAGAAGCCGCAGCAAAACACAGCTCACACTGGGGCTCTTGTTTCAGAGAAACTCACTCGCTGCTTTTCCATCACCCTCTGTTAATGCGCATGCTGAAGTATCGCATGAGAAACAAGTGACGGATGCAATGAATTTCAAATAAAAATCCCTTAGCTTGCAAAAAATTTTAATTCACGCTCGCTTGAGGTGGTTTTGGAATTAAAGTCACCATCAAATCAAACAGTACTCATTTTTTTTTTATATACGTTTATAGCAGTATTTCTAAATATATTAATAATAATTTCATTATTTTGCAAAAATTAATTCGTCCTTATCAACTTTAATTAAATACAATAACCGTCCCATCCCCTCGACATGACTTTGTCATAGGGATGCTCAAAATAATCGATTACCCGTTAACCGAAAGGGTGCATCAGTTAAACGATTAAAATTATTATTTTATATATTTTTAGTTTGGCTGCATAAGGGGCCGATTGAATGCGCCTTTGCGTTAAGAGGGGCATCTTTTGCACGCGGCTCATCCCAGAGCAGCAGTTTGTGTTGTCAAGACAACTACAGAGAACTTTTAAAGAGCTTGGTTTCCGCTACATTCATTCTTCCATGGCGGGGAACAAAATGCATCCCGCCACGGCTACATACCCATTCAAAACATTCAGTTATTGTTGTCGTTGTTTTTAATAGCGGATTATAATCGCATCAAAACGTATTATAAGGTAAGTGGATTATAACAGCGCAAACTTTTTTGTAACCATATATAGTGCTGTGCACTATTGTTTAATCCTTTGGGGTTACGTGCTGACTGACTGACTGACTGACTGACTGACTGACTGACAGGTGCGCGATGCGTGAGGTCAGCAAACACGCAGAAGCTTTCAGTTAAGATGAACACAGTTTCTATAGTTATACTTTATTTATAGATAAAGTATAAAGCCTGATTTATACTTCTGCGTCAAGTGACCGGCGTAACCCACGGCGCAGGCAACGCGCGTGGCTGTGTATTTATACTTCTGTGCGCTGTCTCTGTCGGTCTGCATTAACACTTCCGAAACGCTAGTTGGCAGTGAGGTGTTAATGTTTCTCTGTGTCGAGTTTCTTCTCTGCTTTTTTGCTTTTCCTGAACACTTCCGGGATGTACAAGTGGCTCAAACTCGCTCATTTTGAGGCAGGAATTGGCGGACGTGCAACAACTTTAACTATGAGGTAAACACAAAACAAAACTTTCCATCCGGAGCTCCTTCACAGGACTCCACACTTGTAAACAATCGCTCGCGCCATTCGCGCGGCTCTCGGCCCCGCCCAGACTTGTCAGCGCTACCAAGCCGACCAATCACAGAGCTTGCGCTACGCGTCGTTGCGACATGTAGTAAATTTTTTGAGAGGTGCACGTCAGTGACGACGATGGCCACGGCGAAGGGCTATGCGTCAGCGCCGTAGCATACGCCGACGTTTGACGCAGAAGTATAAATCAGCCTTGACTCTGCATATAATCACTCTATCATGCTGGAGTTTATAGCCGTTTCACTTTACTTCAGGACGCATTAAAAATAAAATGTGAACACAATGGCGAATCAGCGCTGTTTAAGATCGTGCTCAACTGCGCTTAAATGTAAGCGGGAAAAGGACATTATTAAAATTTCAGTACTGATTGGTACTTTAAGCTGAATGCTAGTATCTTGGCAAATATCTAGTCAATTATTATGTGCTGTCATCACAGCAAACATTAAATAAATCAGTTATTAGAATCGAGTTATTAAAACTATTATGCTTAGAAATGTGTTGTTATGTTAGAAAAAGAAATTGGGCAAAAAATTCAGGAGGGCTAATAATTCTGACTCCAACTGAGTGTGCATTTTTGCAATTGTAAAATCAGAAAATGAATATGTAAGCTGCCGTTTATGCAGCATTTTGCAATATGTTTTGTGTGCACAAACATGAACTTGTAGGTTAAATGCATGATTTGCATACATGAATATATATTTTGCATATATTTTTAAAGTGGCTTGGTGTGCTCTTTTGAGGTGGTACAAATACTGTATATCCAGACAGAAGCTTCAGCACTAATTGCAACAAGAAATGTTCTTGTTATCTGGCTATAAATGGCAATTATTCAAACACAATCTCATAACTGTGACAGCTCATATGAAACTCTTGCCAAGGCAATCAGTTTTTATCTCTAATTCCCCTGATCGCACTCTCATTCTCGGTTGTATGCACTGATTGTTTTAGCAGGCAGTGATATTGTGGTAATAACAGTTTGCAGGTTATTGCCTGTGTGCCACAAGGAAATTATGCTGAGCGGATGAATTTGTGTTGCCATGGCAACTAGATATTCTCCTCACGTGCACAGCCATGATGCCGATCAGCCTCTCAGAGCAGCGGGATAAAAGCCAGCGCTGCTCTTATGATTTTCACACTGACAACTGAGTGTTAAGGGATTTAAGCTGTGCATGGTGATGAACATTACTCATTTTTTACTGTTTACCTGAGAGTCATGTCTTAACAGGTCCATCAACACACACTGACCCATGTCTAATTAATTTTTTATTGAGCAATGCAGGGTGCAGTGGAGACACCTACATTACAGATAATTAGACGGGAGGCCACACAAACCTGGAGGTGTGGCAGGTACGCCTAATTACTGCAGCGTGCCACTTCTTTTACCAGCATCACTCACAAAACCACAGACCTGCAAGCCATAATGCCACACAGAGGCTGCCCGATCAACCCTTCACAACAACAATTCCAGGAACTGGGAGAGAGGACAAAGAAAAACAACGGCAAGAAACTGCATGTTCTGGGTGCAGGATTGACAACTCCATCTCAACAGTCCAGCAGCAGAATTTTAAAGTGTGCTTAGTATGAGGTTTAATATGTCCTGTATTGTTTTTGAGGCCTCAAGCACTGGAGAAATTCTTTTCGAACTTCGATTGTCTCGTTTTTAGTCTAAATATCTAAAAATTCTTAAATCAAGAAATGTTTTTTTTTATAGAAATAATGTCAAAATTACGTTTTTTCAGCCAAAATAATCTGCCAATGAGTAAAATAATCTTTTATATTTTATATTATAAATATTTTTATATTAAATTTTATTATTTTTTCTTTTTATTTAACACACACACACACATATACATACATATATATATATATATATATATATATATATTTATTTATTTATTTATTTATTTATTTATTTTATTTTACAGATTTATAGAATATACATTTTTTTATTTTAATATTTTATCATCTTTTTTAATTTTATAGATATAGAATATTTTATTTATTTATTAATTCAAATGTACTTTAATATATGTATTTATTATTTAACTTTTTAATTTTTTTATTTTATTTTATAGACTTTTACAATATTTTTCATTTTATACATATTTTCATTTAACTTTAATATTTTATGATTTTTAACATTTTATTTTAAATTTTATTTTAATACATATTTATTATTTTACTTTTTTATCTTATTAATTTGATAGATTTTTATATTTAATTTTTTTAAAAATTTATTATCTGACTATTTTTATTTCATTTTATAGATAATAATATTTTATTATAATTTGTTTTTATTAATCTTAATATTTTATCATTTTTTTGTTTTAGATTATTATATGTCAGTTTATTTATTTTTTTTATAAAAAAAATTATATTTTTTTAACTTTCTTTATTTTATTCATATTTTTTATTAATTTTCATTTTATATCCCAAATAACAAATTTGAAATTGACAAAAATCTTCACGTCGCCCTCTAGTGGATTTTTCATTTGAAACGTGCATTAAAACCAACCCAGAGGAATGTATTTTACGAGGTAATATGATGGATTACGATGTAAACACTTCTCTCTTCGTTTCTTATGCTTCCTTTGAATAAATAACAGAGATCAACAGTTTTGAAGTCAAAATAGTAACAAAGAATTATGATCTGTAAATTTGTGTCAATTTACACTGCGAAACGGTGCAACTACTGCTGAGACTTTTTAATAAAAGAGACCATAAAATCTGTAAAATCTTTTTTTTTTTTAATCAGCCACATGACAAATTAAACCAAATAGCGCTATAATAAGAGCAAGAATCCGCCTAAGGCACTCGAAAAATGTAAATAAAAAATTAAAAAGCCTTTATTGACATGGCTATTAATTAAAAATGTGCCTACGCATTTTCCAATGAGCTCCGATACACTATTTAAGCTACTCCTGAGCACTTTTTGTTAGATTTGTTCGAGCTCCATATTAACATTTGTTCATTTCTGGAGGGTTTTGTAAGAATGAATCAAATACTCACACGTCATTGAATTCTTCTAGACTGGTGGCAGGCGAGAAAACATCTAGAAGACCAATTACCTGCAACAAAGACAAGAGTCGCAGACGGTTAATCACGGACACTTTAAAAGATTAAGGTCGAATCATTTAAAGACTCAAGAGTTTTTGTTAACAACAGGCATGACCTCTAATAGACACACCTCACCAATGACACTCTAAACACGTGCTGGAGGAAAATAAGCTGCACTTCATTTGTCATGACTAGGGTTGTTTTCGTATCATGGGTAAGTTTGGTAAACCTGCGGTTCCCCAAAGAGGAAACCGTGCACAGAATGAGATGTGCTTGTGAACATCCTCTGTGAAACGCATTTATATTTGTGTGGGCATCGTCATTTTTATCTGTCTCTGCATGAGTAGGAGATGTGCATTTGATACTCAAACAGCTGATGCTCTCTTATCCACTGTACAACTTGTGCAGCTTGGTCATCCTTGGTTGATATATTCAAATACAGATAAATGGTGTTCATATGATTAGGGTAAGATGCTTCTGAAGCTCACCGAGGACACAATTATTAAGTCTAAAATATATTATTAATATAAATTAAACCTTTTTTATATCATTTATTTCAGTGACACGAATATAAACTGGCAGAATCATGACTGTAGTTTCTACTAGTGTCACATGATCACTCAGAAAATATTCTACAACCACAAATCAGAAGAACAGTATGGAAAACACAAATAAAAAAAGAAAAAGTGATTTCTAAATTGACTTTGACCTGTATTTCATTGCAGACAATACAAAAAGCGTTATTAATGTGCTCCTCATGTTTTATTTTGTTATTTAAAATGAACATGTATACCAATTTTGGTTCTTGCAACACAATTCAAAAAAAGTTGCAACCGTAAAGCTTTTACCACTTCATAATGTCGCCTTTCCTGTTCACAACACTTAAAAGACGTTTAGGGACTGAAGATGACTGAAGAGGTGTAATTTTGTCCCATTCTTCATGCAAACAAGTCATGAAGGTGGACAACAGTAGGGTGTTTTCGTTGTCCCATTTGCTTCAAAATGCGCCACACATTCTCTATTGGAGACAAGTCGGGACTGCAGGCAGGCCAGTCAAGTACTTGTATCCTCTTCCTCTGCAGTCAGGACTTTGTAATGTGTACACAATGTGGTTTTGTATTGTCTTGTTGAAATATGCATGAGCATCCCTGGAGAAGAAGGCAGCATATTGTGCTCCAAAATCTCCATGTGCTTTTCAGCATTAATGGTGCATCACAGAGGTGCAGGTTACCTTTGCCGAGGGCACAGATAAAATCCCAAACCATGACAGACCCTGGCTTTTGGACTTGTTGCTGGTAACAGTCTGGATGATCCTTTTCTTCTTTGGTCCTGAGCACATGGCGTTCATTTCTCCCAAAAATACCTGAAATACAGTTTCCACTGGGAGATGGTCCATCCCAGACGGCTCCGAACCCAGAGAAGTCAACGGCTCTTCTGGACACTGTTAACATAGGGCTTCCTTTTGGCACAGTGCAGTTTTCACTGACATTTCTGAATGTAACTACGTATTGTGGTACTAAGGTTTGCCGCAGTAGTCCTGAGCCCATGTGGTGATCTGACTTATAGATGAATGAGGATTCTTGACGCCCGAGGAATCGGAGATCACTGTAGTTCAGCTCAGGCTTCCGCCCTTGTTCTTTACGCACTGAAATTCCTCCAGATTCCTTAAATCTTTAACGATGTTCTACACAGTAGATGATGAAATATCCAAGTGTCTTCATATCTTTCTGTGAGGAACATGGTTTCTAAACAGTTCAATATTTTTCTCATGTGCTTGTTGTCAAACTAGCGATTCTCAGCACATCTTTGCTCCTTATCCCTAGTTCAGGCTGCGTGATTTTAGCCCCGATTTTAGCTCTCCGACAGGTTTTGAGAAATCGCCGACAAATGCCTGAAATCACAGGCAAATCGGTGCACGTGAGTGACAATCACACAGTACGAACTATCAAAGACGCGATCTGAGAGAATCGCCAATGAGTCGCCGATGCCTGTGAGATATTTGGCGTGCTGAATATCTGGAGCTGTCGGCGATTTAAATCATGCCGTGTGAAATGAGTTTAGACTGAAAATAACATCAGCGATCGCCTACAGCCAATGAGAGAGCAGCTTTCACTTGTGTGTGCGTGTGTGTACGCCTGCTGCAGGCCAGCGGGAGGCTGGGGGAGAAGTTAAAAGCGCTCTTTTTCGGTTTATTTGGACCCACGAAATGTTTTGACAGGACTCAGGAGCGCCCGTGTCTGTTTGACGTTTCATACAGAAAGAAATTAGTTTATTATTAATGTTGAGGAGAAATGGCTAATTCCCTTTAAACCCAGGTGAGCAAATATGTACATTTTCTACCCCATTAAAGGCTTCTTTCTCATTATGTAGTTAATAACAAAAGATATACGACGTGTTTTTGTCTGTGAGACGTAGTTTGGACGAAGTTGTCGGCGATTCTTCCTATAGTAAAGTCATGCAATGTGAAAGCCCCTGTCGCCGATCCATCTTACAGTGTAAACAAAGCAGCGATGAAACGCTAGCCCAGATAGTCATGCAGTGTGAAAACATCTGTGACACGACGACTTTGAAAATCATGCAGTCTGAACACGGCATAAAGGACCTTTCTTGGATGCTGCTTTTGTACCAAAGAATAATTATAATCACCTGTTGACATCACCTGTTTCAAATTACATCATCATTACACCAATTAACCTGATTACTAGCCCTGAACTGCTCCTGCCAAAACTTTTTTGGAGTGTGTCTCAGGTCTGAATGACAGGAACGGATGTATATTAACAAATGAAATTAAGTTGATCAGAAAAAACATCCAATATTTTGTCTTCATATTGTCTGCAATGAAATACAAGTCAAGCTATATTTAGAAATCCCTACTTTCTTTTTAATTTGCGTTTTCGCTACCGCTTTCCGATTTGCGGTTGTGGGTTTTACAGATTAGTTTGATTGCTGCCATTGTTTGCATTAGACAAACAGGAATATGAAAAAACATACGTTTAACATTTGAGAAGCCAATCTCAATTAGCATCTGTAAGAAACACAGTGTGGTCAGCGCAATAGCCTAGTAGTTAGCGTGCCGACATATGGTGCAGTAGCACGTCAGGGCGTCCTGAGTTCGAATCCTGGCTCAAGGACATTTCCCTACCCTAGCCCCCTCTCTCTCTCCAACTTCGCTTTCTTTCTCAATACTGCCCTATCTAATAAAGGCAAAAAGGCCAAAAATAAATCTTTTAAAAAAAAAAAGAAACTCGGTGTGTGTGTGTAAGTACTTGTTTTATATCCCATTAGAGATATTAATCCTGAATGCAAACAGACTCATGGGGACTTGTGTTAATGTGGAGACCAAAATTGAGGTTTTCACTGGTAAACATGCTTGAAAATCAGACAAAATGAACTATTTAGAAAATAGTTATACTGACTGTATGCCATGAGGGTTGGGTTGAGGGATAGAGGGAGAGAATATACGGTTTGTAGAGTAAAAACACATAATAATAATGTCTAGGAGAGTCCCCACTGAGATATAGGAACAGGTCTGTGTGTGTGTGTGTGTGTGTGTGTGTGTGTGTTAAAGCAAAGGCAGGAGAGAGACACAGAGAGCGAGTAGGTGGCTGTGATCCAGCATAGAGTTTCACCCACGCTCGCACTGAAGCTGCACTGACTCCTGGATTCCGGCCAGACGCAAAACATTTAGGCCCTTTTTTTCCACGCAAAAAAAAAATCAGCCTTGACAACAACAGGCAAATAAGAACATCGCACAAGAACGAGCACATGATGAGCAACAGCCCGCTCTTAAAGGGACAGTTCACCCCAAAAATGAAAAAAAATCAAATAAATAAAAAATAAATAAATAAAAAATTAAATCACACTACACTTGTTTAAAATCCAACACAGGCTCATTGGAAATACACACGTTTTTGTATAAGCACAAAAGAAGTACTTCAAAACACTTTTTACTGCAGTTTCCAGGTAAAATGAAATCTACCAAACAAAAGTCTTGTCGCCTATCCAAGTTTTAGGATCAGCAAATAATAAGTTGACTTCTAGTTGATCATTTGGTATCAGAAGTGGCTAATATGAAAGGCAAAGGCCTCTAGATTATGATTATTTTACCACAATAAAATATGATCATGCCTTGATTTTTAATGATTTCATGAGGACAGTAAGGTCTGACTTTGCTTAGACGAAAGTCTCATCACTGAACAGAAATAATGTCCAGTATAGAATATAAAGTCCTGCTGCAGTGGAGACAGAATGAATATTGTGTCTGACTCCATCATGAGCTTGGAGGACTGCATCCATACATCTCTGCACTGACTCAAATCACTGATTAATAAAGTCATCTGGAATGGCAAAGAAAGCGTTCCTGCAGGACTCCCAGAGTTCATCAAGAGTCTTTGTGTTCATCTTCAATGCCTCCTCCTTCATCTTACCCCAGGCATGCTCAATAATGTTCATATCTGGTGTCTGGGCTGGCCAATCCTGGAGCAGCTTGACCTTCTTTGTTTTCAGGAGCAAAACTCCCCATTTTTTCCCCATACTGAATGTAACCCCAAACCATGATTTTTCCTTCACCAAACTTGACTGATTTCTCTGAGAATCTTGGCTCCATGAGGGTTCCAGTAGGTTTTCTGCAGTATTTGTGATGATTGGGATGCAGTTCAGCAGGTGATTCATTATTATTAACAGATATATTCAGTTCACGCTAATGAAAAGGGACAGTTCACCCAAAAAAAATTTGCAGTTTAAAATCCAACACATAAGTAAATACACATATAGAAGTACATGCTTTAGCTGGCGTTTTTGAAGAAGCACAAAAAAAATTACTTTGTACTTGGTACTTATTACTTAGTTTGCAGTTTTAACACAAAACATGCATGTTTACAACCACTTGATGAGTACATTTTTGGATGAATTGACTATTTAAAAGCACTTCTGAGCATATTTAAAGGAACAAAATCAAATTAGAAGCAGACAGCCGTGTTCTGCACATTAAGGATTTATGATTTTGCAGAGCAGGCAGTGCATTAATAGTGTATAATGTCTCCCTGCTCCCTCATCAGCTCACAGACAGCGATCAATAGAGTTTCATAAGGCTCGGATGAATCTCCCGCTGGGATCTGTGCTGGTAGAGGAAGTGCGTTAATAGTCAAGAAAGTGAAAGGAGGACAGGAAGCCACAGATGATGAGGAAACGTGCAGGTTCTGTTTAGAGTCGAAGACTAAATTATTAGCCCTCTTGTGAACTTTTTCTTTTTCGAATATTTCTTAACAGATAAGACTTTTAAACAGAATCGCTTTAATAAGTAATTATTAATAACTCATTTATTTGGTCTTTGCCATGATGACAGTACAAAATATTTCACAAGATACTAGTGTTCAGATTAAATGCGCAATTTAACAATTTAAAGGCTTAACTAGGATGATTATATTAATTAGGCAAGTCGTTGTACAACAGCGGTTTGCTCTGTTGCCAGTCGAAAAAATTATAATAGGAAGAAAACATTCTCTTTAAGATGAAAATATTATAGGGAAAAATTATATATATATCTCATTATATTATTAGAATTATTATATATATATATATATATATATATATATATATATATATATATATATATATATATATATATTACATATATATATTAGGGGTGCAACGGTTCAATCTACTCATGGTTCTTATGCATCACGGTTTTAGGGTCACGGTTTTAGTATGGTTTATGCTTTTCTTAGGAAAAAATGCCAACAGAACAATTCAAACAACAATAAACATATTTATTGAGTAACAAACACCTGACTTCACACAGCTTCACACATATGACTGTAGATTTCTAGGTTCCTGCATTGATTAAATAAAAGTAGGACATTTGGAAAATTGTATGATCAAATAAAATGCTTAAAAACAAAGCTTGAATTTCCTCCTTTTCTATTTTACATCTCGACTCAACACTCAACCAATTATTCAGATCATAATGATGTCAACGCATCTTATTAATCGAGCACTTTTAAAGTATTGATTACTTCTGTTTAATATTATGCTTGCTTTACCGAGGCAACAACCCGTTTTTTCTGTATGATTTCTTTATGATTTTATTATGATTCCAGAGAGCTCCGTTTCACTTATCAGCACTAACCATAGTGAATGAAACTTAAGCTAAGAGAGAGTGTTTTCTCTGCTCTTCTCTCTTAACCTCCCAGGGCTTGGTGGCCACATATGTGGACAGCACATTTTAGCTCTTAAGTGGCCGTTTAAAATACTTTGAATGCTTTATATTTTGTTATAGACATACAGTGTCATCCTGCAACTGTTTTGCAGCAAATGAAATGTCCCAAACACTACTTTTAACTGTCCATAATGGGGAGAAATTTAGTTTTTGCCCTCTGATAGAAAATTATATGTTAAATATGGATTACAAAACAGTCACAAAAAGTGTTTTATGTAAATTTGGACCAGGAGTCCACATATATGGACAGCATTTTCTCTAAAAGTACATCATATAAAAAAATGCATGTAAAAAAACACCTTGGGACTTAAAAGGGTATTTCAGCATGAACCGAACATTGAGAAGAAAACTAATTGGCAGATAGCGGGTAAGCTGAAGCAACAGACCTGCTGTATGTCTGCGTCCATATGGGACGCTTCTGGGTCTGGATACGGACCTCGATCAGGCTGTTAGTGACCGCTGATCTAGGCTATTTTTGCAATAACAATAAAAAACGCCATTCGTTATGTTTTTGAGTCTGTTGAAACACTGACGGCAACACGCTGGGGTTTTGCCTTACCTGCGCATTTACGCTGTATCTCCTTCACTTGCCATGCTGAAACCCGCTGAAACTCACACACACATACCGACACGTGAGGAAGCGTGATGTCAACAACAGATTTACATACTAAGGTGATTGGGTGATTGGACAGGTCTTCGCAAGTGCAATGAGCGTTGAGGTTGTTTTTATTAACAAATGTAATGTAATGTGTATTTATATAGCGCATTTACTGTGCATGGCCGTACACCCAAAGCGCTTCACAATCATGAGGGGGGGGGGGGTCTCTCCACACCACCACCAGTGTGCAGCTCCACTTGGATGATGCGACGGCTGCCACAGGACAACAGCGCCAGTGCGCTCACCACACACCAGCTACTGGTGGAGTGGAGAGACAGTGATAGAGCCAATTCAGTGGAAGGGGATGATTGGGAGGCCATGATCGTCTGGGCCGATAGAGGAACTTTAGCCAGGACACCGGGGTTACACCCCTGCTCTTTTACGAGAAGTGCCATGGGATTTTTATTGACCACAGAGAGTCAAGACCTCGGTTTAACGTCTCATCCGAAAGACGGCGCCCACTGACAGTATAGTGTCCCCTTCACTTTTACTGGGGCATTAGGACTCACACAGACCACAGGTTGAGCGCCCCCTGCTGGCCTCACTAACACCACTTCCAACAGCAACCTAGTGTTCCCTAGTGGTCTCCCATCCAGACACTGACCAGGCTCAGCCCTGCTTAGCTTCAGTGAGTAACCAGTCTTGGGCTGCAGGGTGACATGGCTGTGACCAATAATAATGCAGATTCTGAACCGCGGACCACAGGGTGCACTGAACCGTGGGAGGACAAGGGGGCTAATAATATTCACCTTAAAATGTTTCTTTAAAAATGAAAAACTGCTTTTATTCTAGCCGAAATTTAAAAAAAAATTCCAGAAGAAAAGGTATTAAAGAAAATTCTGTGAAAAATGACTGAATCTGTTCAACATCAATTGTGAAATATTTGAAAAAGAAAACAAAACTCACAGGAGAGCGAATCATTTTGACTGCAAAGTGTACCTAAAGTAAGAAGAGTCATAAATGTGGATGATTCTTACATTCTCGTGCTTCATGTGTTTGAGCAGCCGCAGTTCTCTGTACGTGCGTTTGGCGTGGATGATGGACTGGAACGGCCGGGAGAGTTTCTTCACTGCGACCCGCAGGCCTGCCTTACCATCAAACGCGGAGCTGCAGGGGAAAAAAAAAAAACAATAACACACATCAGCAATATGATCATCATTACAGACCACACGATTACTGGAGATTCAAGCTGCTCAAGATTTCCATAGAAAAATAGGAATTAGTTTATATAAGATTATCTAAAATAAATGGTTACCATTACACCCAAAACGGCAGTGCTGGGGTGAACTATCTTTTTTTAAGACAGCAGAAAAAGTGTACCCACTAACTTCAATAGTAGGAAAAACAAACACTATGGAAGTCAATGGTTACAGGATTTTATCATTCTTTAGCATAGGGGAACTCTTGAAGAAAGCGGAAAACCTGTAACCATTGACTTCCACAGTATTTGTTTTTCCTAATATTGAAGTCAACGTGTACAGCAGGGGTGTCAAACTCAATTCCTGGAGGGCCGATGCCCTGCACAGTTTAGTTCCAACCCTGCTCCAACACACTTACCTGTAGGTTTCAAACAAGCCTGAAGGACTCAATTAGTTTGATCAGGTGTGTTTAATTAGGGTTGGAACTAAACTGTGCAGAGCTGCGGCCCTTTTGGAACTGAGTTTCACACCTGTGGTGTACAGGATTTCAGCATTCTCCAGCATCTTATATTAAATATTTTGAAGAAAGCAGAAAACCTGTAACCATTGACTTCCATAGTATTTGTTTTTCCGACTATTAAAGTCAATGGTTACAGGATTTTAGCATTATTCAGCGTTTTTTTGGGGCGAGGCTGACCTACCTAATTACCTAAAAGTGCACCTGGAACACACACACACACACACACACACACACACACACACACACGCACACACACGCACACACACACAAATACACCAATACACCAATACACACACATACACACACACACACACACACACATACACACACACATACACACACACACATACACACACACATTCACACACACATTCACACACACATTCACACACACATACACACACACACACACACACACACATACACACACACATACACACATACACACACACATACACACACACATTCACACACACATTCACACACATAAAAAAAACTTGATGGCTAACATTCCTACTGATTCTGAATATTTATACACAGTGCATCCGGAAAGTCTTCATAGCGCTTCACTTTTTCCATTTTATATTTTATGTTACAGCCTTATTCCAAAATAGATTAAATTCATTTATTTCCTCAACATTCTACACACAATCCCCCATAATGACAATGTGGAAAGAGTTTTTGAAATTGTTGCACATTTATTATAAATAAAAACCCTGTAAAATCAGATGTACATCAGTATTCACAGGCTTTGCTCATTACTCTGTTGATGCACCTTTGGCAGGGATCACAGCTTCAAGTCTTCTTGAATATGATGGCACAAGCTCGGCACACCTGTCTTTGGGAATTTTTGCCCATTCCTCTGTGCAGTACCTCTCAAGCTCTCAAGTTTGATGGGAAGTGACAGTATACAGCGATTTTCAGATCTCCCCAGAAATCCTCAATAGGATTTAGGTCTGGGTTCTGGCTGGGCCACTCAAGGACATTCAACGAGTTGTTATAAAGCCACTCCATTTATATTTTGGTGGTGTGCTTTGGGTCATTGTCCTGCTGGAAGATGAACCGTCGCCCCAGTCTGAGGTCAAGAGCACTCTTGTGCAGGTCTTCATTCAGGATGTCTCTGTACATTGCTGCGTTCATCTTTCCCTCTATCCTGACTAGTCTTCCTGCTGCTGAAACACATCCCCACAGCATGATGCTGCCACCACCGTGCCTCATGCGATTAGCTTGAGTTTTCTCCAAACATAACGCCTGGCATTTACTCCAAAGAGTTCAATTTTAGTCTCATCAGAGCAAAGAAATTAGTTTCTTATGCCTCATTCACACAGTGAATTAGGGCCAGACTCTCAAATGAAGGAGACAAAGCGTCTTGCGCTGTTCCATTCTCCACAGACCACACCTCGCCAGAGCGTCTGCCGGCCCAGACGAATAATAACACACTCTCACAGACACACCGTAATGGAGAGCAGATCTGTTTACATTACAACAAGCATGCTTCCTAAAAGTAATCAGCTAGAGTTACAGCCCAGTATGTATGCGTGCATGAACAGTAGGGCTGAACAATGTATGGTTTCAGCATCGATATCGCAATGTGTGTGTGTCCGCAGAGTTGAGTTGAAATGACTGTGATTGGCCATGAAGGTCATCAGTTCATTGAACTCACCGCTACTCACTGAGCGCAGACACAGACTGTTTAAAGCGGTGAAGATGTACAACAGATTCTTTGTTATGTACTAAATGTCGATAATTTGTGTAGTTAATAAATATAGCTAGTGCATTGAGCAAAAATACTACACTTTAAAGATAACTGGAATATTTCGACAGTAAAAAACAATAGTGTAAAATATCAGAAATGAACCATGCTACACCCCACTATTTATAACAGTAAAGTCTGGTCTGAACTATCTGCAGGAAAACAGCTGAACGCTAGTCAGCAGACAGATACAGGGCTGCTGCTCTGCACACATGCTGGGTTCAGTTCCAGAGAAAGCTCTAGCGGAGAGAGTGGAGTCAGTGACTCAGTGCAGATTGTGAAATATGGGAAAGCACCTCAGAGAACAGGAAAAGTCCCATTTCTCTCTATCAGTCTGGAGCAGAGTGATGCCGCCCATACTGGACACAGAGACTGGACGCAGAAGAAGTGTGTGTGTGAGTGTGTGTGTGTGTGTGTGTGTGTGTGTGTGTGTGTGTGTGTGTGTGTGTGTGTGTGTGTGTGTGTGTGTGTGTGTGTTGGAAGATGTATTGCACACTTTAATAAAGTCAGATCAGTGTCAAAAATAATACATTAATGAAATAAAGTTTCAACATGTGTAGCACAATTCACATTCACATAAATCCAAAACAATTCATAAATACAACAACTAAATTTGTGAATTCACAAGTAAAATTCGTAAATATTTTCGACACATGAATTAAATTTTCATATTTATGAATTGCGTTTTGAATTTACAAATAGTGTGTGTATTTACGAATTGTTTTGAATTTACGAATTGGATTTGCGCATTTATGAAATGTGTTTTGAATTTACGAATTTGATTTGCATATTTACTATTGTGTTTTGAATTAACAAATTGTGTTTTGCGTATTTACGAATTGGAATTGCGTATTCACAAACTGTTTTGAATTTATAAATTGGATTCACACATTAATGAATTGTGTTTTTAATTTACAAACTGGATTTATGCATTTATGACTTGGGTTTTGAATTTACAAATTGGATTTGCATATTTATAAATTGTGCTTTGAATTAATGAATTGGATTTGCATATTTATTAATTTTATTTTGAATTTACTCAATTGATTTGCATATTTATGAATTGTTTTTGAATTTACAAATTTGATTTCCGTATTTACGCACTGGATTTGCGTAGTTACGAATCGCTTTGAATTTACGAATTGGATTTGCATATTTATGAATTGAGTTTTGAATTAATGAACTGGATTTGTGCATTTATGAATAGTTTTTTGAATTTACGAATTGGATTTGCATATTTATGAATTGTGCTTTGAATTAATGAATTGGATTTGCATATTTATGAATTATGTTTTGAATTTACTCGTTTGATTTGCATAATTATGAACTGTGTTTTAAATTTACGAATTGGTTTTGTGTATTTATGAATTGTGTTTTAAATTACGAATTGGATTTGCGTACTTACGAAATGTGTTTTGCGCATTTACTAATTTAATTAGCATATTTATGAATTATGTTTTGAATTTACGAATTGGATTTGTGTATTTATGCATTGTGTTTTAAATTTACAAATTTGATTAGCGTATTTACAAATTGTTTTGAATTTACAAATTGGATTTGTGTATTTACGAATTGTGTTTTGAATTGATGAATTAGATTTGCGCATTTATGAATTGTGTTTTGATTTTACAAATAGGATTTGCATATTTACAAACTGTTTTGAATTTACGAATTGGATTTGTGTATTTACGAATTGTGTTTTGAATTGATGAATTAGATTTGCGCATTTATGAATTGTGTTCTGATTTTACGAATTGGATTTGCGTATTTATGAATAGTGTTTTGGTTTTATGAATTGGATTAGATATCCATATCTAAATCATAAAGTTTGTAAGGTCAATCTAACAGTATTCCAATAGGCTTCACCAAATAATAGGCCTATCACAATAATCAATATTTTGACTTATCACACAACACGTGAACATGAGTTCAATCATTTTTGCTGATGCATATATATCGTCCATATATTAAAAAAAAACAATTCTAGCAACACTTCAGCAACATCTCTATCTCTACTGGAGGTGTCAGTATGGTTAAATAAACATAGCATTTACTATAAATGACTAGAGTATATTTTCCTGTAGGTGTCTGACGGTTGAAAATAGCTCTGGTAGCAGGCATCACAACCTCTGTTACTAATTACTTTGTTAACATTAATATCATTTATTTAGGATATGCATTTTGATTCCAGTGCCTGATTGTTAAAATGACTATAATAAAACGACATATTCTATAGAATAAAATATACGTGTTCTTTGTAAGATTGTACTTGCATCGTGATGATATTATATTGTCATTCTGTCATTACATGATGAGTGGCATAAAATGGTCTTAAAACAACACTAATATCCTTTATCACAATATATTTTGGTGCAATATATAGATATCATGACAGGCCTACCAAAGAGTCAGTGTTTTTTCGTGACCTGTTTTCTTGCAGCGTAAGAAAGTGTTGAATTCAGTTTTTGACTGAATCGAAATCAACTGTTATACCCAAATCTAAAAAACTAAATATTTTCTGTTACCTCTCATGAACTCTCACACAGTTGTGGCTTCAGTTTGCCTTTATCTAGATCACCAAGAACACGAAGTGCCAGAGCAAGAAAAACAAACCTCATGAAAACAGGACTGAAGTACGCAAAAGGAGCGTCCAATCAAGAGCTGTCAATGGCTGCATTCCTCCAGCACCAGATCA